TCAATCATCAAGCGCTCTCGTCACCAGCGATGGACATTCGTGGGATTTTTCCTGATCATGCGCATTGGAGCGAACGTTGCAGTCCTCACTGCTGTATACACTTCCTTAGAATTTAGGGTACCATTGGATCCCAGTAAGGAACAAAATATAATGTCCTCTTCTTTTCCTCGATGATTCCTGACGTGGACGGCTGCGGTTCATTATCTATTTTTTTTAAAATTTCCCTAATATTACACTCACGAAGACTAACACTCTTGTAATTAATTTGTCTGTTAAAAACGCGGGAAAATTGCACAGAGGCCCCTTAAATACACATCCTCTGGCGGTTCGGATACATGTATGGTAGCAGACGACATGTAGCTGTGCCGTCAGCTTATGCATACGCAGAAAGGAATTCCTCGAAGGAAAAATCCCACGAATGTCTATGGTTTACTCTAGAGCGTGGTCAATACCCAAGCGTTGTCGATATCGGTATCAGCTTTTTCTGTCAATTTTTATTGACCCTCGAGCTAATCTGAATTTTTAACGCATATGTCTCGTGTATTCTAAATAGCACAATTTAACACCACTTGCGAAATTCGATTATCTGTCCCCGTTCGCAAATTGTCCGAATATTAAATTTTGTATTCCTTTTGTATTCTTCTGCAAAATGAGTAGAGATTTCGAATTTCTATCAATGGCACAATGTAGCACAAGTTAGTACGCATCTTTCTATAGAAAAAAAAGTTTGTTTCGGCAAAAGTACGGGGCTAGTATAATTTTGGTTTCATTTCTTTTCTTAATTGTTATTGATGTTATCGATCTCTTATTTACAGCACAATTCAGCACAAATATATCACAATACGGCACAAAAAAAAACTGAAAATTCGAAAAGTATGGGGCTATCAAAAATTTTGTTTTGTTCTATTTTCTTGAGTACGCTTTGACTTACGGAGTTGCGGTTTACGGCACAATACGTCACAAACGTAGCACAATGTAGCACAATTTAAAAAAATCAAAAATTCGAAAAGTGGGGGGCTAACTTCACACACATTTCGTAACGAACGTTTCGTTACATATTATACAAGAGCACGTTTGTGAACATACTTGAAGCTAAACAGGAAATGCTTCTAAAAGTTATTAGTGATTTTCTGCAAAACTATACAGAATATGAAGAAATTGTTTAAATAAATATTCATTATTACTACAATGGCTATCCAAACAACAAAAATTTATATGGCATCCATTTAAATATTTGGATCGTTATGCCTCCTGCCTCCCTGGGGGGGGGGGGGAGTTCCCAGCAATGCTTCACACACTACTTGAAACAACCTATCGTATTCTATAATACTAAAAAAAAAACTTGTCGATATCACTCATAGTTTTCGAGAAAATAGCTTGTAACACTTTACGCAGCTCACGCTGTTTATGCTAAATGTACATTACACCAATATGGACAACGACAATGACAATGACGGCAACGAGGTATCATATTTTGTGTAAATTACAGTTCGACAAACTTTCTCTAAAAAGAGCATAATGATAACGATTATAGATTTCATGGATTAATAGCGACAATATTATTTACACAGTTAACATTGTGTCAAACAGTATAATTGCATTTACACGAGTTTATCACATTTATCAAAATCACTTCTTTGCACGATTATACATCAAAAATCCATTTTTCATTTCGCAATTAGACATTTCGTTATTGAGGTATAAGCAGTTCAAGTTATTGCGCGTTTGAAGTCGTAAACACCTAGCACGATTGTCTTACTGAAATACAGAGTGTCCCAAAAATTGCTCATATCTGACAATGAATAACGAAGGTTCAATTTGCAAAATGTTACAGAACTTTTTGGTGCCAGACGAAAAATTGATCCTGAATAAGATCCTATAAACTTGGTAATAGTAATAATAAATAATAGTATTGCCATGTGTATACAAATTTTTTATGAATTTAGTGAGCAGTATAGAGTTCAAAGTCACTATTCTTTATCATTGGAATCGATTGCAAATGATCGTCGAATAAGATTGACCTGTAATTAGATTTCACATACTTAACATTTTAAATGCATTGATGTACAATGTGAGTCACCTGTACTTTCTACCTAGAACATTTCCATTGTTTATGATGATACGTAAAAATATTACAAGATGAAAATATTTTGTTTGAATAGAGACATACTATGATAAGTAATATAATTGTCTCAAGTTGATGATTTCCGAGATTTCAAGGTCATTGGGTTTTTGGCTGATAAGAAGATAAATGTAAACAATATATTGACCTTCAGATGACTTTCTGAGAAATTACTCTTATAAAATCAATAAATGTATATAATTGTTTTTACTATTCTTGTTTTCGAAGTAATGTGCAACATTCTTTAAGAAATAGATTATAAAAATGTATAGAGAATAAATAACGGTCTTTAATTTGAACATTAAGTGTAGTTTTATATTCTTGTACCTACATTGGATGATATTAAACGTCTACAAGTTTAATGGCATGTGTAATAACTTCTCAGAAGGTCAATATATTATACATGTTTAAAATCTTTTTATCACCTATAATATTACAATAATGAAAATACCACGTCCCATTTCATGAAAAACCAATGGCCTTTAAATCTTAAAAAATATGATTTTGAGACAATTTTGTTGCCCACGATATATTGTGCCCCTCTAAATTAAACATTTTCAAAGGTTAGAAGACTCACACCGTGTACTGCTAACTGTTGAAATCAACCCTTTACGCTCGAATCGTGACTCTGTCTCTGTCATATCTTGAACACTAAACGTCGATGAAATGATTGTCGGTGAGATAAGAGTGACACAATTTCGTTATCACTAAACTGCGGATCCAAAAAAAATTGAAAGTAAAGTTCATGTTATAATATTTGCAGAATAAAATAAATTCCTATACAGGTTCAATTTTTGTATATAATAATACCCACTTATTCTACAATACAAATTAATAAAACTTAGCATGCGTTGTACCTATACGGAATACAATCATCTGCATATGTAGAGTGCGGTTAAGTACATAGTTTTATAGTAGTTTATAGTAGTACATTGGCTTCATAAATTTGTTTTTTATTTTGTTCAGTACGCCTACTAAATGGCATAATAAACATGTACTATTATTCATACTACTTTTTTTTCTAGAACGTCAACTAACCATGAACCTTATCTATTAGTTCATCGAATAATGTTAAAAATGATAGTATAATATGACTTAATTTATGTATTGTTATATCATTATACCAGTCAGAGCTCCTACTTTCTCATTTTTGCCTCCAATATACATATGTACATCTAATTGTACGTCGTGTCAACTCTAAAATTTGATAAGCTACAAGTTGGCAAAAACAATATTTGCAAACACATATTCCTATATAACGTTTTATTTTAATTTCATTTAAGATCAGTAGCATATATTCTTGAAGTGCTGTCGTTCATTCCAGATCTTTACTTGGAAATGTAAAGCTTATACATACATACAGTGGGTGTAGAAAGTATTCGTACACCAATCAATTTCCAAAAAACTATGTAAAATTGTAATGTATTAACTTGTTTTTTATAAACAATGACATTCTACATATTCTCGGAAATCTCTAGAAGAATAGATAGAGTACAAAAAAAATAGCTATTTATGTAAGTCGCGAAATTAACAAGAAAAAAACAATCAATCGATAGAAATGTTGAAGCAATAAGTATTCGCACAACTGTTTAATTTTTAAAATTTCATTAAAAAATAAAGAAATTTACATTAATTTAAAAGTATATAATACTTCCTTCGTGGAATTTCTTTTTGATTTTATCATTATTGCAACTCTTCTAAGCGTTAAATTACCTAAATTATTAGTTATTCGAAGTGGGATCTTCTTCAATTTTTAAATCTTTTTAATTCTTCTTAATTTTTAAAAGTACTTTCTTGGAAATTCGATGTTTTCTAATTCGTACGGAGCAATAAACTAATGTGTTTACGTTACAAACTCAACTGTAAAAGATTCGTCATAAGAATCGTACAAATACTTATTGCTTCTATACTTTTACCCACTTTTCGCATTCTTTTGTTAATTTCACAAATTATATTAACTAGTAAATGTTGTTTGGACTATATCTATCTTAGAGACTTCCGAGAATATGTAAAATATCATTGATTATAAAAAAGGAAGTTAAGAAACTACAATTTCACACAAAAGTTTTCTGGGAAATTGATTGGTGTTCGAATACATTCTACACCCACTGTATATGTACAGAGTTTTATCATTTAAATCGGAATGTTCAAATATCTCATGGGGAGATGGAGTTTTCAAAAAAATGTCTTTACAAAAATTGTTGAATGCAGTCTGCCAGTTGGTTGAAGAAGGATAGAGCATTTTTTTGTTCGTTTTATCTACCATCCTTGTTCAACCAACCTGCGGGCTGCGTTGAATCTACTAATTTCAAACTTCAATTGAAGGCTTTATATTACAATAAATGACCTTGTATCATAGGTCCATAAATTTGTTTAAACAAATGCTATTATATTATGTATAAAAATATATAAGAATCCACCTAAAAAAAAATTAATTTCTTTACTTTCCTTACAACAAAATGATTTATTCCATATAATTAATTCGCTTGAACCAAATAACTTTCGTTACCTTTTTGGTAACTTCATGCTTCTCATGAAATATTGAACCATTCCGATTTAAACGATAACACCTTGTATATGAAATCATAGGACACATCTAACTTTGTAGATATCTTTAATGCAATTCCTCACTGTAACTACATAGTATAATACATAGATTTAATTTTTATTGTTGAAAGGGGACTTCCTCTGGCGTAGCTGTTCGTTAATGTTTTTGTTTTTTTTTTTCTAAAAATATTCAATCTGTCCCAAGACCTCGGTAACTCTTTGCATTTAAACCTTCTTTTCCCAGTTTCCGCGTTATTAATCCACAACTCTAATAGCCTTTGTAACGAACAATAAAATCAACGAGTCTTTAACCGTGTTCTTCTTTCACTAGCCAGGATATGGCTTTATCAAGACCTCACGCATCATCCAGCGCTTCAGTACCTGGCCTGGGTGGCACTACCAGTGTGCCTGATCCTCTTCAGTGCTGGTTTTGTGCACATAGTTGCACCGCAAAGCATAGGATCTGGCATTCCGGAGATGAAGACCATCCTACGTGGTGTAGCTTTAAAGGAGTACTTGACCTTCCGCACACTTGTCGCTAAGGTTAGACATCAAATTTTCATTTCGTCGTATTTCTTGCTTCAATGAGCTTTATTGTTTATGGCTGCAAACACTCCAACCGTGTAATTATTATTTTTCTTGCTTTCGAATTGTCAATACGATCGCTTCCATGATAGTTTAGGTTTCATTTAACCTAATTTTTAAATGTAGTAAAAACAATTCTGAAGCAAGAACAGAATTATCTTAGCATTGATGACTAGTAGTGAATACAAGCTCGCTCTAATTACTTTGAATCAAACACCTAAATTTAAGTATTTTAATATTTTGAGATAATATTTCTTTAAGATTAATATTTATTCATAATAATAACAGTTGCCTTTGATAAAACACATAATAATTAACTTTAGTCCTCAAGAAGCATGAATCTGTCACTGAGCATTCTTCTCTTATAATATTTAGATGCACCCTGTTGTTAGATTTCTGGGTACCTTACTAAACTTAACCATTGTAAAACTCAAATTTTCAAGAACTTCCATGAATTCCTTATCGAATTGTTTCAAATCAAGACATATATTTAAATTCCAATCACTGGTCTTGTCTCTTGCAAGATTTTTCATTCGTACGTAATAACGTAATTTAAAATCTTCCTAGTAATCGCCGACAAGAAAAGTGAGAAATCATAAACCGAATAAGTGGTTTCAAACTAATATTACATCGTCAAAAAGAAAAACTAGGAAACCGGAGTAGTAATCCTAGCAAATCTTTTTCGAGTGCTCATACCTAACTTTCGCAGCGATCGTATTAATTAACCGACCTGCTGTTTTTTCTTGTTTATGACTGATAAAAATCTGTCCATAACCATAGTTTATATTAATTAAAACTTTCAGATGTAAACCGTGTCTTTTGGATAAAGTACTGCGACATTTCAGCAGTATTCTACGTTGTTTCCTCCAGAGATGAGCAAAACCCTAGACTTCGAATAAATCTGAAGTTTGCCGATATGTTTGTCTCGTTCTTTCTCTGGAAAATGTTCAAAAGAGGAAATGAAACAAAAATATCGTCACACTTCAGATTTATTCGAAACCTAGGGGTTTGCCCATCTCTGGTTTCCTCAGTGGTCAAAGGTCACACTGATATTGGTATGCCTCGTGTAGTTTGAGTTTTTTAAAGATCTATGCCCACATTATGATTAACTACTAATCACTGAGCTCATGTCACAGTTTTCTGGTTGCCAATAGATCCGTGTTATTTATTATAAACTTTAACAGTATACGAAACTAAAGAATGAACGTCCTTACTGTGAGAGTTGGTTTTGGTATGCGTGGAGAGTGAGTTAAGTTGGTATGCGTGGAGAGTGAGTTAGGTTGATATGCGTGCGAGGAAAAGGGGTTAGAGTAAATCAAGTTAAAAAAGCATGCGCGTGGCATTAATGATGTCTTAATATTCTAATCCATTATTAAATATATTAATCACAAAAAGTGTCCAAAATTTGTTCCACCTTCCCACACTTACAACGTACGTATACGATTGTAGTTGAATAAAAGCTGTACCTATACGACTTTGATGAATCGAGGAACGAAGAGAAGGCTATTTTTCTTAACACTGTCTCCTAGCTTTGGCTTCAGGTAGGAAACCGAGTACATTTTGGAAAATTTCGGATCTAGAAGGTATAAGCAATATTCGCCTGAGATACGCGTCTTGCGCGTGAAACATACAGTACATAAAGGCTAATAGAAGTTGTTATTGATATTGGATTAAACAAAATTATTGAAAAAAAAAACTGTACTCATCATCAGAACAGGAAAACTGTTGAATAATATTCACCATGCCGTCCTCCCAAAAAAAGCAAAGGATCTAGAGTTTACGGATTTGCCAAAATCCACACACCTAATATTGCAATCCGATCAATTGTGAGTACAGTAGGATTCTTAACATATAATTTTGTGAAGTATCTACCTTAAGTATCACCTTTGAGTTTTTCATTGGCAATACAGACAATCGTCTACGAAACTCGACGTATTTCATAAAGAAAATCAAGAACATCCACATTTTACCAGAAAACATCTTGTTAAACTTTGACGTCCAGACCCTTTTTAACAATGGCCTAGTTTACACCGAATAGTTAATACGCATATTAAGAACTACGGGTGTAGGCCCCCGCTCCACTTCTGAATACCGGCCCACTTACTACTCCTTCAAATCTGCGCCGATTTTACAACGAAAGCGTGATTAAAAAAATCTGATTTTTTGGGGATCTGTTAATAAAGCATTCGCGCGTCCGAGTCCATGAACGGCGGTGACGTGAGGTTATTGGTTCACCCTGCAGATGGGCCTGAAATTGGATGCGAGTTTTTAAAAAAATCGACATTTTCGTATTTTATTGTCATTCGCGCGGAAAAAAGGCATACATCTGCAGAATCCAAGCATTTTTAGGTCACTAACAGAGTTTTATGGCTCAAACGACGACCAGAGCGTGCTGCACTGAATCTTCATCTTTCGAATGAGCCCTCACTTAGCCTCAAATATTCTTATATAAGGACAAAAACCGAAAAGTCCTGAAATTATTCCCAAAGACGAGTTCCGCCATTTTGACGATAATGCAGAGCAAGTCACGTACCAAATTTAGTTCAGGAAATCGGTTTGAGATGGCGCTTACTGAAGAGGACTGCTAACGTGAATATCAATACATTGCGACGTTGTCATTCTGGCATAACAGCGTCTATTCTTTCCTGCGCTGTTGCCATTCTACTGAAGCCGAAATATTCTTACCCCGAGTCGACACTGCGCGAACACGAAACAAGAACATACCCTAAAAACATTCGCAAGGGTGTTCTTACTGTTGCTAACATGGCGGCGAACATCTACGATGTTCTTACTCCTGTGAAACTGATGTTATTTTGTGGATTCGGGCGATCCGCATCACCTCCATGCTTGGAAATGCTCGAAAGCAAACGACCGTTTACGACCACCCGCCAGCAGATACTCCAAAGGGATAATATGCGTGACCGTAGTTAATATTAGTTCCTTAATTTCATCCAAGTTTTTATGGTTTTTTTGTTGTATCTTGATGAAAATGTATGCAATATATTGGCGAAATTTTTTTGATAAAAATGATATGAAACACGACGCAATTCAGCCAATTTTGAGTATCCGGCCTATTAATATTTTTTAAAATACCATTTTACGTCCCTTGTCAGCTTCAGAGAGAGTATATACTGCAATGAGAATGTTGGATGAATGTTTATATTTAAAACCACTACGTATGTTTACACGTTTTACAGTTGTCAGTTATGTTTGTGTTAGTAATTTATTCATTAGTCATTCATTTTGTTTTTTCTATTGCGCTTAGATTTTGTCCGTTATATATTTTGTGTTGTCTCTGAATGAAAAAAATCAACCGGAAAGGTCGCTTCATCACTTTATAAAATATAAATAACTGTTTGGAAAATTACAAATGTTTGACATTATTCTGTCTTTGCCTCTCCTCCGTTTGTTGTATCTCCCTCTCTGTCACCGCATCATTGGAGAGACAAGGATCTATCTATTCTTGTCCCGGAGCTTCCTACTTTTTCCACAACTGTCGCTGAAGTCAACTCAGAGTTCTGCACTGTCTCCTGCGTACCCTTAAGCTACGATTTAAGCTCCAACAGCCTGGGATTAAAATGTGATGTTTACATTTGGCCCGAACAATACCCCACGGGCCAGGCTCGTAATAATTAGTTTTGGTCCGAATATTCGATCGCAAGTCTCACATAACGGGTATAACCCGACTGTATTTAAATTATACTTCGCCCTCGTTCTCAATATTACAACATGTAGTTCCCTCCTCTCCCCGACATTGGTCACAGCGACTTTAGAGAAAAAACAAAAGACGGCATGTGCCGTGCCCACGAAGCACACGCCAACCATCGACGCTCATTCTTTCTCGCTGTGTGACGGAGATCACTTCGCAAACGTAAAAGTGTAATATTGTGCCATGGGAAAACATAGACCAGAAATAAATGTGGAAGCTCTGCATAAACAGATGGAGTTGTTGAAGGCTGAAATGAAGAAATTAAAGGAAGGAAGCATGTCTGATGATGGTGAGTGTAAAATTATAATATCCATCAAGCGCCTGTACGAGTTACCGGACAATGATCGGTTATTCGATGGCGTGTACACGAGCGGTGCAACATTCGAATTATATTAGATGAAAAACTTTCAAATGAAAACGTAGCGCATGCACGAACGGGATGACGGGTTTTTGTTTTACGCGCACAACACATGTGCAGGTTTTAAACGTATGGCGCTGTCTCTTGGTTACAGGTAGCATAGCATCGGAAAGCTCGATTGAGAGTGATACAGTTATGGAGGAAGTTAATAATGGAAGTGATAAAGAAAACGTGATTGATAAGCCGAATGTGGAAGAGGCGGATACCTTGGAAGATGAGTTGGATGAGGATTGCTTGGCTGCTCTAGGAGCAGACCCTACAGTAAATTGTACAAAGCAGGTAAAACTGCATAATTACATTATTAAAAGATGGTCTCATTGGTTTTTCAAAGGGTTAAAAGACGAAGAAAAAGAAAGATTAATAGTCAAATATCCGGCACCGGGAAACTTACAACCACCCAAGCTAAATGCAGAAATTGCTGCAATTCTAATGGAATCTTCGGTTAAACGCGATTCACATTTCGTGGAAAGGCAAAAATTGGCAACGTCCACTTTGGCAATATTAGGTCCCATGTTCAATAGCGTAATAGATGAAAAAGATGGTGTAGACAAAATTGATTTTGTAGAAAAAATTAATGATGCCGCAAAACTGGCAAACCAGTTAGTCTTCGACCAGACGGAGGCTAGAAAGGCTTTCATATTACCAGGCGTTGATAGGCATAAGAAGGCGGTTCTGACTAATACCCAAACAGATGAATATTTGTGTGGGAGTAATTTAAAGGAAAGGATAAAAGAAGCGAAAGCGTTGGAAAAGATTGTGCAGGATATGAAACAGGCTGGACCATCTAGACCATTGAGGCCAGTGAATAATTTAAACTGGAACAGCTCACAAACGAGGAAGCCGGCATTCGAAGCCGGCGTTTTTGCGAATGGGCCAAGGAAATCATCCGGCAAATTCAAGGCCACGACTGTTCTTCAAGAACAAGCAATTTCCTTACTCGAGGGTAAAGAATCAGAATCGGTACATACCAAGAGACAGAGCAGTGCAGAACCGAAGAGAGCAAGAAGGAAGGAGATAAATGTAGGAATTGCAGGGAGATTAAACAAATTTTATAATAATTGGGAAAAAATCACCGACGATAAGGTTGTCTTGGACTGTCTCAAAGGGTACAAATTGAAATTTGAGAGAACGGGGATACAAGTGAATAAGCCTAAAGTAAGCATTGATTCGGTAAGTGAAATGAGGAAGTATGAACGAGCAGTTGAATTATTAAAGAAAAAGAAAGTTATAGAGAAATGTCATCCAGTTAAAAATCAGTTCATATCAAGTTATTTTTTAATACCTAAGGCAAATGGGTCATATAGATTTATATTGAATCTGAAAAGGTTGAATAAATTTATTAAAAGTAATCATTTTAAGATGGAAAGTATAAAAACTGTTACTAGTTTGGTTTTTCCTGGTTATTTTATGAGTAACATAGATTTACAGGATGCATACTTTTTAGTTCCGGTAAGAAAAAGTAGTAGAAAATACTTGAGATTTGAGTTTGATGGCGAATTATACCAGTTTACGTGTCTACCAAATGGTTTGTTTACGTGTCCCTTTACATTTACAAAACTTATGAAACCAGTGATAAAATTATTAAGATCAAAAGGGTTTTCCTCTGTTATATATATAGACGATATTCTGTGTATTGCGGATTCATATAAAAATTGTCAGATTAATGTGAAGGAGACAAAGAAGTTGTTAGAGAGTTAGGTTTTCTTATAAATTACACCAAAAGTAGTGTTTAATTCCGTCAATGCGATGTAAATATTTAGGATTTGTAATAGACTCGGATAAATACCTCGTTGAAATTACACAGGAAAAAAGAGAAAAGTTAAAGGGACTGGTTCAGCATTTTTGTAGATTTAAAATTTGTACAGTTTGGGAATTTGCGCGACTTATTGGCTCCTTAGTTGCAGCCTGTTCGGCTATTGAATATGGATTCGTTTATACAAAATTGTTATAAAAGGAAAAATTTAGAGTGTTAGTAAATAATAATAATGACTATGGAAGGATCATGAGGGTCCCAAAGACTATATTACCGGACTTGAAATGGTGGGAAAGTCATTTGGATACGGCTGTGAATCCTATAAAAACCAATGACTTTGCGGTTGAAATTTTTACAGACGCATCTGACAGTGATTGGGGTGCAACTGATGGACGGATGGTTAATAAAATTTATGGGTACTGGAATGATAGAGAGAAACTACTATCGATTAATTTCAGAGAACTTTTAGCAGTTAATTTAGCACTGTTAGGTTTGGCCGGGGAGTTAAATAATTGTCAAATATTACTAAGAATAGACAATACTACAGCTATTGCCTACATAAATAAAATGGATGGTACACGGTTGTACAAATATAACAAGTTGGCAAAAGAGATTTGGAAATGGGCTGAGGAAAAGAAGAATTCCTCATTTGCTTCATATATATCGTCTGTTGATAATGTGGTGGCTGATAAACTGTCGAGAATCGAAAGTAATGATACTGAATGGGAATAGGCTAGTTATGCATTTAATAAGATTATGAACAAATTTGGAATTCCGGAAGTAGACTTATTTGCATCAAAATTTAATGATACGCGCAGTAGATTCTTCTCTTGGTTGCTGGATGATAAGACAGAGAAAATTAATGCGTTTACGGTTAAATGGACGAATTAAAATTTTTACGCCTTCCCACCATTCAGTTTAATTCTGAAGGTTCTAACAAAGATAAAAAATGATAAAGCACGGGGGATAATGGTAGTACCGAACTGGCCTAACCAACCTTGGTATCCGTTACTGTTAGAATTACTAGTATCAGAAGTAGTGATATTCGAACCCAATAAAAATTTATTGTCATGCAGGGCAGGCTGTCACTCAAGATATCACCTGTCTTTAATAGCAGGAATAGTATCATCAAGGCGTTCGAGATCATGAAAGTCCTTCATGCCTTAATGGAGATTTTATTGGCATTCTTGTCGGCAGTCACATATAAACAATATGAATCGGCGTGGAGACAGTGGTGGCAGTTCTGCGTGTTGTCAAGTGAAGATTTTTATAGACCTACGCGGAATAGTTTGTTAAGGTTTCTTACATATAGTTTTAAGAATGGTGCGTCTTATGCTTCTTTAAATACGTATAAATCGGCGGTATCCTTATTATCAAGTAATAAATGTGGTGAAGATTTAGTAATAAAACGATTTTTTAAAGGTATTGAAAAAATAGTGCCACCAAGACCAAAGTATAACTTTACCTGGGGTGTATCCGTTGTTTTAAATTACTTAAGAACATTAGATCCCTTGTCGGGTTTAAGTTTACAAGATTTAACGTATAAAACGGTGACTTTAATAGCCTTTTGTACCGCCCATAGGGCCCAGACGCTAGCCAGTATTGTAACGTAATCAGGACGTAAGGAAAGAAATAAAAACGTCGTAGTACTTCGATCCGCGTGCTCTTTATTTCGCGTCCGAAAAACGAATGCCTTCCAACGCAACGGTCGGCGATCGTCATTTCTTTTCGGCGCGACGCGATGTGCTCGCTGCACGCGTCGCGCCGGTTTTCGTACGCTACGCGTGTAACAATACTCTTACAGTATTAAAGTAAGAAATGTTAGAAATACGGAAGCAGGCTTAGAAATAAGAATACCAGATGTGATAAAAACATCAGGTTGGAATTGTTGCCAGCCACTATTATATTTACCAAGATTCTCTAATGATAAAAGACTGTGAGTGGCATCGGTGATTGAATATTATATGGCTGTTACCAAATATTTAAGATGCTCGGATAGATTGTTTATAGCTATTGTGAAATCACATAAAGAAATAGGTTCTCAAACGATCAGTAGATGGATCAAGACTGTGCTAGCGAAAAGCGGTATTGATGTAAAGGTTTTTTCAGCGCATTCGACGAGACATGCATCTACGTCGCATGCACTGAAAAAAGGGATTGATTTAAACGTGATAAGTAATACGGCAGGCTGGACTAATACCTCCCGCGTTTTTGCTCAATTTTATAATAGACCGGTCTTACCGGAAAATAATGGTTTTGCATTAGCGATACTAGATTCGTAAGGCAATATTATAAATATTAGTTGCGTTCAATTATTGTATATCATTTAATAGTTAGAATTGATACCAAATACAAGTGTTGTGTAAAAAAATTGTTCACTCTAAACATCTACATGTAATATTGAGAACAATGCCGAAATATAATTGAACGATCAAACGAAGTTCGATCGCATTTATATGTAGTGCCTCGTTCGAATATATTACAACCCACCCGATTTTGGTTTGATTTTCTTTCCCAACCCTATTAACAAAAATTTTTTGATAGCTCTGAACGAATGAGCGTTGATAGTTGGCGTGTGCTTCGTGGGCACGGCACATGCCATCTTTCGTTTTTTCTCTAAAATCGCTGTGACCAATGTCAGGGAGAGGGGGGAACTACATGTTGTAATATATTCGAACGAGGCACTACATATAATTGCGATCGAACTTCACCAGTTCGTTTGATCGTTCAATTATACCAGGGATTCGAATCCTAACCCGTACCGGCTTCCGGTACTTTGTATTATAGAATAACCCATCTAACCAGGGAACACAAGACATCTGTAACCCGAGTAACCCGGTTAACCCGGTTGTATGCGTGTTATAATAATACAATAAAAACCATAGTTATCACCATGTTTCTAAACGGTAATCAATTTTATTTCAATATTGTCTGTTTTCTACTCCACTGTCCATCCGCGAGAAGAAGGTCATGCAAGTGCTTACATTTACTCGTATTTACTACTCGTTTACTCTACTTATGTAGCAGAACGGGGACGTAACCACTTGCCCAACCCTCTTCTTGCGGACGAATAGTACATGTATTACATATTATATATTATATATATTACATTTATACGTACATTTTAAACAATCTAGTTTCATTTGATTTGAATATTGCCTGTAAGTTTACATATCTTTGACTTGCCTGGATGTCTAGGATGTCTTCTTTTACTAGTAAACCACTCCGAGCAGATTAACCTGCTCTTCCTACAATTCAAGAACCGTTCCTTCGTGGTTAGTATGGGCTACAGTAACCTTCCGTTCATTAACCGGGTTTGGGTTAAGGTTCAGCAGCGATTCGAATCCCTGAATTATACACATAAAGTTACTTTTGGGTCCAAATTATATGTAGTACAAACGACATTACATCAACTTACGTCTATGCATTTGTAACGCAACCTAACAACATTAATAGAGACATAGGATACATTATGAACCTTATCTAAAACGCCCCCCCCCCCCCTCCCAGATCTTTTTATTGTCTGGCAGAATTGTCATAACAACTTCTACTGTTGACCAGTGAGACATGCGATGAGCTCGATATTTGGTAATCAATGAACATGACGCAAATACTGATACTGTTATGGATTCAGACAGAATCCTTAACACATTTGGATTTATAGTACGAACGTGACCTTTCGCTATTTTTGTTTTACAAAAATAGTCTTACGTTGCATCTATGTATATTATAAGATCATTTGATCTCTGAACTCAGAGTATCTAATGTAGAAGACACGGTTTACACCCTCAAGTTTTAATTAATATTAGTTATAACTTTAACTAACTCTAATGAACCGAGTCGTGAAAGCTTCAAATATCTTACTCACCATCATTTAATTCTCTTTCTGCTAAACGTTAGTAGAACCTCAAAAGTAACATTAACGCTTTGATAATAGCGTTGCGAGCCTCGGTGTGTAGACATCCCCTAATTTCTAACAGGTGATAGGTTTGACCGCGACTCTGGGCTCTGGTTTGCCTCTGGGCAAGGAAGGTCCCTTCGTGCACATAGCAAGTATTGTGGCCACTCTCCTCTCCAAATTGGTCACCAGCTTTCAAGGAATCTACGAGAACGAGAGCAGGAACTGCGAGATGCTGGCAGCAGCATGTGCGGTCGGAGTGGCAGCCTGCTTCGCAGCTCCTATCGGAGGAGTTCTCTTCAGTATAGAGGTCACCACGGTCTATTTCGCTGTGCGAAATTACTGGCGTGGATTCTTCGCTGCTGTCTGCGGTGCCACGATGTTTCGTTTGTTGGCGATTTGGTTCCAGAGAGAAGAAACAATCACTGCAATGTTTGCAACGAACTTCACTATGGACTTCCCCTTTGATCCGCAAGAGCTATTCGTGTTCGCTTTGATCGGCGTTGGCAGTGGCTTGGGTGGTGCTTCCTATGTCTGGTTGCATAGGCAGTACGTTATTTTTATGAGAAAAAACAAGAGCATGAACAGCTTTCTGCAGAAAAAGTAAGTATTCGAATCGTTCAGATTGTATATATTTAGAGCAGAGGGTATTGACGCGAAGCCAATTTGATAATACATACATATTTGGTTGTATTAATTCATTCAAATTTCTGAATCGCCGTGTAGATCTTTTTTAAAGGTAATATCTCTATGTCTTTCGACAAACGGATCAATGAAGTCGCAATCCTAAATCATTCGTGACTCAGTTAACTGCGAGCCTATTCATACCGACCAAACACTCATTATTACGATTTCATAAGAATTATTCCGGCTCTCGTTACGATCAAATTGTAACTGTATTGATACCGATTTCCAAATAATGAAGATTTTTGTCAAGCCAACCGGACCTTCAAGGATACTACCTACGTCGCTATCGTTTTCCTTTAGAAATTGCGTTTTGTTTTATAAACAAAACAAAGACAAGCGATATAGTCCGAAGCGTCCCTGAAAGCCCAATGGACTCGACAAGGTCCTTAGGCTAAAGCGTCCCACAGACTGCTCTGACGTGACGCGGGCCCACGTCAGACACGAAGCGGTGTCAAATTGGCGCCTTTTTTTTATTATGGGGAAATGCGTTAAGGTACGTACTCACGAGAGCATTTTTCGACGCACGGATTCAACCCCCACTTCTGGTTATCGCTCACGGCCTGTACGCTGGCGAACCCTTTTCGACTGCTGTCGGTCCATGATCAAAGGATCGTGCGTACGGCGCACAGTGGGCAAAATCGACCAAATCTGTGTCAAAATCGTGGAACTCTTGAACGAAAGTTGAAACTTCACAGATTAAAAGAAAAATATAGAGAAAGTGATACGGATATTGATTGACCTTTAAAATGTAAATTGAACTTGCACTTTTTCAACAAAATTTTAGTTTCTCCGTTACTATAAGTGGTAGAATTTTTTTTATAGATTTTGACATGCCGAATTCAAATTTGGTCGCGAAATTTGTCTACCATTTAAGGAATTTGAGAAAAGAGCGATTTAAGTGAAAAAATTGTTCAAAATAGTGATTATTTCGATCAAATGTTCTAATAAAAAGATATTAATATATGCATCGTATTTATTTACATAGAATATCAAATAATGAATATAAATAAAGTAGTATGTTAATGACATAAAATGGTAGTGTCATGCAACAGGTTTATTCTCATCACGTCTTGATGCATACTCACTCCCACTCTCTTCAGTCATCTGACTGCAAAGTATTATAAATTCTATACACTGAATAACCAGATTATATATAAATTTACAGAAAGTCGGATGAGCAAAAGAAATAACAATGAATGAACGATTGTAAAGTAAATTTTGAAAAATGTCATTTGACAAAAACATGGAAGTTTTCAACCGATTGGAATTAAACTCCGTGAGGAGTAGTTTTGCAGTGTCCTCTGGGCGTGTGTAAAGTTACATGAGCGAGGGTTGATGCGAAGGGGTTAATTCTCCCCCCTAAAGGGAAGGGTGTAGAAAAACGCCTCTTTGAAACAGGCCAGGGATGATGGAAAGGGTTGAAAAATTCAAAAAAAACCTTTGGGGCGACTCTCCTTGATGCCCTCTACAAAATGCACCCCTTGAAATCCCTCTCGGACACCCCCTCCCCCCCCCCAAGGGAGCCTATGGGGAGCACGGTATGGGTAATTGCATTTTCTGAATCAGGGGAGTCCAGAGAATGCATTGAGTCCAAAATCGAGACAGTCGTCCAAAAATTGTGGATTTTAGAGGAGGTGGGAGGTTGTGGAGGGTGAGTTTGTTCGAGAGGGATTTCAAGGGGTGCATTTTGTAGAGGGCATCAAGGAGAGTCGCCCCCAAAGGTTTTTTTGAATTTTTCAACCCCTTCCGTCATCCCTGGCCTGTTTTAAAGAGGCGTTTTTCTACACCCTACCTTTTAGGGGGGTGAATTAGCCCCTTCACATCAACCCTCGCCCATGTAATTTTACACACGCCCAGAGTACACTACAAAACTACTCCTCGCGGAGTTTAATTCCAATCGGTTGAAAACTTCCATGTTTTTGAACCGTTTAAAAATTTCTCCGCTAAGTTTTGATCGTTAGTATAGTATTTTCAAATGGCTATGTGAACCTGGCATCCAATTTTCAGATAAGTACCTTTTTTTTATACAAAATAGTATTACATAATATTTCGTTTGTAGTTGATTGTAGTAACAGCAATTTAGTTTGTAGTTTTTTCAATTATTAAATAAAAAGAATTGGGAAAATGACCCGCACCCGACTTCGAGATATCTCAAATCTGTTTCTTCCACGTGATTCAGAATCATTTGTAGTTGTTTGTAGTGATTTCCCTAAAGAGGGATTTAGAAGCATTGAAAATTCACAAAGTTAATTCTTGGACGGTTAAGCAAATGTTATAACTTCTAAAGCATTCTAGTACAAACGAAAGGAAAATCAACTACAAACCATTCTGAATTTCATCGAAAAAGCGGATTTAAAAAATATTAAAAATTAACGAAGTTAGCTCTTGGGAGGTTAAAAAATTGTTTATAACTCTTAATCTACTCAACTTCAAACGAAACGAAAATCACTACAAACAACTACAAACGATTCTGAATCACGTGGAAGAAACAGATTTGAGATATCTCGAAGTCGGGTGCGGATCATTTTCTCAATTCTTTTTATTTAATAATTGAAAAAAACTAAAAAAGAAACTGTCGTTAATACAATTAACTACAAACGAAATACTACCATTTTATATAAAAAAAAGTTAATTTTTTTAAAGTCACCAGGTTCACAAAGCTTTTTAAAATGTACTTAAATGAAACTTTTAATTTCACTGTAATTTAACACTGTGAACCGTTCGTGCGTCGAAAAGTGCTCTTGTGAGTACGTATAGTCGCTTGCTCGTCGGTTGGCGCGCGGTCATCAAGCTAGAGGAGTACTGAGGGGACAGGGGATCGCTCAGTCCTCTAGAGAAAGGGACGTTCGGTCCGCCTAAACTTCCCCCTTTTTTTCGAGCTGTCACACTGCATAGGCGTATTCTGATACCTGAATAGTGACCTGGCTCCGTTGTTCGTGCGGGCGTCCGGTGTTCGAGGGTTAACCTTACGCAAATGATTACTATTGCCCTCTCACTCTATCTTGTTCACGGTCTTCGTCTCGCGGTAGCGTTTGCCTAGGCCAATACCAAAAATGCGTATTTTGACCTGGCCAATACCGAAGACATTCCGTGCGCCAACTCAGCAGCAAGCGACTATACCTTTACGCATACCTCGGCTCCCCGGAGGAGAAGCCGAGGTTACGTGGGACTACCGTCGGGGAAGGGAGCCGCCGGAGGCGCGCTCATCAGCAATGACTACCCACTAAAACCCCACACCCGCCTAAGCTACTTGGGAAGCGCCTGGATCCCACGTGTACTCAACAGGACAATTCCCAGCTTACATGAATCCCGTAGGGAGAGGTTACCCTTCCCCACTGCCTTCTCTATAAGATCCCGGGCGGAGGGGCCGCCCGATGTCCCCATCCCTGGTCCCATCGAAATGAGTTTCCCGAGACCCCGCTCGGTCCAGCCATGGCCACCGAGCGTGCCCAGCCTGTTTCTGGCAACCCAAAGGACGTCACACGGTCAGGGCAAGAAAATGCCGACACCGGTAAGGGAGGGTCGTCGAAGGCGTGATCCGACACGCCCCGATCCTCCCCATACACCCCCAAAGGACCCGGTTGTCCTAGTGAGGACGTGCCGAACCCTCGAGGACGGTCCGTCCCGAGGGGAAATTGTTCCTCTCCGAGGGTAAAAGTCCTCGCGGGTGCCCCCCGCGATCAAATTGGCGCCTGCCCGTAGCTCATATGTAAAATCAACCGTTATGAAGCGGTGTCAGATTGGCGCCTGCGCGGAGCTCATGAAATTAATTGGTGATACCGTGCAACGGTTGGCCTTATGAGCTACGCGCAGGCGCCAATCTGACACCGCTTGGTCTCTGACGTGGGCCCACGTCACGTCAGAGCCGTCTGTGGGGCGCTTAAGAGTTTCAGACACTTTACATAATTTTGTGGAATTATTCTAGTCGCTTTTTATATCCTGGCATCGTTTCCCTCCTGGTGTCATCGGTGTCCTTTCCCCTGGGACTGGGTCAGTTCATGGCTGGCGACTTGAACACGCACGACCAAGTATATGGTTTGTTCACTAACTTCACTTGGACCAAGGAACAACTCGGTGTCGAAGAAATGAACACGGTTAAACATTGGTCAACCATGTACACCGATGTGTTCACTGGACTTCTTGGTTTCGTTGCTTTCACGGTAAGTTGGTCCAGTCGACTACAACTGGATCGTTTATTTTCATGATATCGCCTGACGAATGGGAAAATCCATAATCAAGCAAAGGACTTTAATTTCAGTTCATCTTTTCTATTATAAGTTCGACCGTACCCGTGCCGTCGGGTATCTTCATTCCTGTGTTCAAAATCGGTGCTGCGCTGGGTAGAGCCGTAGGGGAAGCTATGGCTCTCTGGTTCCCTAACGGCGTTCGTTACGGCGGCATCATAACTCCCATTGTACCAGGTAACTATAGGCTATTTAGGGAAAACTTAAAGAAGTTCTATTTTCATGAAATTTAATTTGTAAAAGAGAAGGCAATGAAGTGATTATCGTTAATAATCGCAATTTACAGGTCAATTTCGGTGACCTTTCCCTAGATGCGATGTTTACTGTTCTGAGTATAAGTTTTCCCCGCGTCCTTCTTCGATTCGTTTTGTAGCTACGCTACTCTCGCAGATACACACACGCAGGGCCGGCGTTAGGGAGGGGCGCACCTGCACGGTTGCCCGTGGTACTGGATTTGTGGGGGTCGCCGCGGCCCGGTGTCCCTGGTATATTATAGTATATTCAATATACCGATATTTTCTCATTGTCTCTTCTATGCTATGTAGTTTAACAATTTTTACAATCTAACTACAGATTCATCGCTAGATATTATTAAAACGATCATCATCGTTCGCAACAAAAATTTAACCTTCTTTGGCCATCAATGCAAAAACTGTGCAAAAACTAGGCATTATTACTTTGTCCTTTTTTCTCAAAAATTGTAACCCCTGAATGGACGCTACGATAATCTTCCCCAGGGCGCCAATATTGCTAAAACCGGCACTGCACAGACGAACTCAAATTATACGATTACAAGTGTGCAAAAATTCTGGATGCAATCTCTGACTCATTCTTATCTCACACTCGATTATGTAACATGAACATTTTCTCGACCCTCTATCACACAGTCTTAAATACTTTTTATTCGTACTAATAACTCTACATTTTTTAAACACTTAATACAGTTAATCTTAACACCTTGCTGACCGTTTATTTCGAGTCGCAACCGTTCCATGCGAAGAACACATTTTTTCACAGTCGAGTATGAAATGAAAACGTCAAAATTAATCTTACTACATATATTTATACTGTATATCATGTAACTATGTGCACGATCTAGAACATGTTCAAGGTTTTCACGGCTCGGTTCTCCATAGTTGATATTAACTCAGACTTCCGGTATGAATCGTATTCTTTGAACACAGCAATACGTGTATACTCGTGACCAACCAGTAAAGCTGGAGAGCCATTGGTGTAACCCGCTCGTTCGCTCGTAAATTGTGCGTCTTCGCCGGATTCTATTTAAAAAAACGTCTTCTAGCATCGCTGATGTGACGACGAACGCTTGAACCACTCGAAAGGAGTCGAAGCGAATCGCTCCCTTCCCGAGTGTTCATATTAGCGGTATCGACGAGCATTAGGTCCACTATTTATTCTGTGTGCATTGGTCCACTGACAAATCTTGAGACTAAATTATCACTAGTAAGGTCTTCATAAATTGAGTTGATAAATTTCAAAACATTAGAAGTTAAGGAGGAAATATCTTGATTATAAGAAGCGTCTTCCCCATTTGCTTCAGCGGGGTGGTACGAGCACGAAGGATCATTATCTTTAGTAATTCGAGGATATCTCGAAAACTATTCGTCGGATTAACTTGAAATTTGCAGAGAATATTTTCAAGATATCGTACTTCAAGAAGATGCAAAAAAGTCGTTTTTTTTTAAATCCTGACTGGACCTAACCCCTTAAATAAACGCCCAGAAGGAACACCTAGAACAATTCTTCCTAGAACTAGGCACGATACCGACTTTGAAACCAGCCAAAATACCATCCTTCCTAAAAGAGACCAACCCATGGAAAATGGACGATGCCCATTAACCAAACATAAGATACACATCCTAGAATGACAAACATAGTATGCGCAGTAAAAGGAGGACTCGAACACCGCATCGGCACAAAGAGGAGCCACGGAGGACACCCCAAGTGATTTAACCGAAGTGGTAATTTGCCGAGGAAAAGGTCCACTGGCGGGGGGCGTGGACGGAGCCTCTTGCCCTACCTACTACAAGCACGAACAATCTCACTAACCAAGTGTAAATAACACTCCCCAGCAATGGGTGTAAAAAAGAAAATGGTAACCATCACTAGAGAAGAGTCTGCGCGCCTCCCTCATAGAGGGAAGTTCCCAGACCTAGGACGTGTGTTGATCGTACCATACAGCCACACCATCTCACGCAAAGGGATAACGGCTCCACGAAAATGGACCCAACAACCCTGCGGATGGGGTGTTGATCTTTACCAAAAAAAACCATAATAACTTTTCGATACGGAAAAGGGGCGGCAAGGATTAGGAGCTACCGGGACACGCTACCCAAACAACCAGAACCCAAATAGGATAGGCCGGTTATAGCGCTAAACAAGACCGAGAGAGGTGGACGGGTGCTCACAAGCAGGTCTTGGCCCCAAGGCACTGCGGGGAACTACCCGGACCACCCCAAGTATTCTAGAATAGGACTCGGGAGCATAAAAACGTAAGGTACAAGCCGGTAACCCGAACATCGAGCGATGCTAATGGGCCATCGCCGAGATAGGTAACCGAGAGGGATAGGTTAGCCAACTAGGGAGGAGTGTGGGTCTCTGAACTGCTCGCGACCTAACTAACACCTCAACACAGAGGCGGGAGGGGTAAGAGGGAAGGGGGGAGTGTTAGGGAACAAAGTCAGGGAAGGGGGTGGGGGGTGGTAAAACTCGAAGGAATAAGATCCAGCCCGGGTTACGGAACACGTACAGTGGCGAGCATATAAATAGGGAAAATGTTTTTTTAACATATAAGACGTTGTTCTGCAGTCCTGATTGGTATTTCTCCTTTAGTCTTTCCATACTTCAGAAGTACATTTCCTAAGCTTTACAATGCTGTATAGTTTTAATTACTAACGCCGTTTAATTAATAAAAAAAAAAAAAAATAGTAGACTTGAAATAAGGACACTTTCTGAGAGCATCTAAATAGGGAAAACTAAGTTTCTTATTTTCAATGCATATTTTGGTAAGTTCGTGTGATTATAAAGTACAAGTAATAATACCATATGTAAAGTGCAATTAGGTATAGCAGTTTTTGCACATAGAAATGGGTCGTGGCAAACATATTACAACTGTGCAACGTCTAGAAATTCTCCGACTTCGGAATGAAAAATTAACGCTTCGTAAAATTTCTGAGCGCCTTAAAATCTCAATTAACGCTGTCCATCAAGTAGTCTGACAGGGGGTAGATAGAGCTCTCAATCACACCGATTCGGCGTAAAGGGTAAACACGCAGGCTGGCACTGCGGGTCCTGAGGGATGCTTAAACATTATAAAATAAATGGAACTATTGATAATAAAATACGCAATGAAAGACCACGAAAAACAACACCACGATTGGATCGAACAATACACCGTCTTTCAGAAGCGGACCGATTTAAGACTACGGTTGATATTCATCGTAAAATTTCCACACAAATGGACACAAAAATTAGTGTTCATGCCGTTCGGCGCTGTCTGAATGAATTTGGACTAAGAGGATGCATCGTCCGTAAAAAATTAGTCAAAAGAATCGTAAGACAAGACTAGCCTTTGCTAAAGAGCATCTTCTCTGGACAAGAGAAGTGGGCGAAAGTAATTTTTACTGATGAGTCTAAGTTTAATCGCTTCGGATCAGATGGAAGAATTTATGTACGACGTCGAATAGGTAAAGAATTTAATCTGAAGTGTTTAAAATCAACCGTTAAAGGAAGAGGTGGCTCTGTGATGGTCTGGGGTGGCATGACCAGAAACGATCCTGGTCCAACTTGCCGTGTTAATGGCATCATGGACCAGCATCTTTATGTCGACATTTTAAACGAACATTTAATACCGTTTAGTCGAGAAAATTTCTGGATATGGATTATTCTGGAACGACTGGATATTTCAGGCTGATAACGATCCAAAACACTCGTCACGAAAGGCTAAACGGTTCTTGGAGGAACATAAAGTTAGAGTCATGGGTTAGCCTGCTCAGTCGCCGGATTTAAATCCGATAGAGCACCTTTGGAACGACGTGGATAAAGAAATTAAAATAAAAAAGCTTTCACATTTAAATGATTTATACGATGTGATAGAAGAAACTTGGAAAAGCATTTCAATCGATCGCTGTATTCGTCTTATTGACTCTATGCCACGTTGTTGTGCTGAGGTAATAAGAAAAAAGGGAGGTCCAACGAAATATTAATTTGTTATTGTGAATACGTTGTTTATATTATAAAATAAAATACTTTTGATAAATAATTCTGTAGTTCCCTATTTAAATGCACTCTAAAAATGTCCTTATTTCAAGTCTACTATTTTTTTTGTTATTAATTAAACGCCTTTAGCAATTAAAATTATACAGCATTGTAAAGCTTAGGAAATGTACTTCTAAAGTATGGAGAGATTAAAGGAGAAATACCAATCGGGACTGCAGAACAACGTCTTATATGTATGTTAACAAAACTTTTTTCCTATTTATATGCTCGCCACTGTAGGCTGAGAACGATGTCCGACTAGCGGTCCAGGTATAGTCTAACAGGGGGTAGATAGAGCTCTCAATCACACCGACTCGGCGTAGAGGGTAAACACGCAGGCTGGCACTGCGGGTTCTGAGGGATGCGGTTCGCCCAACGCTCAACTCCGAGCGATAGGCAACATGACCCCGCCCAATGATGGACCTCTCCGTGAAGTAGTAACATTCTCGATAAGGATAGGCCCGGGTCAAAAGAAAGCGAGGACCTAACGAGAAACGGGAAGAATCTATGGCCGGGTGACTGTCCTCCTCTCCTCCTCCCGGTCTCACAACTAGACAGGAGTATATAACCGGAACAGGGGGGAGGGGTATGACCCACGCAGCCAAGAGGATCTCGGGGACCGCTGGTGCGGTCCCCTCCGGCCAACAAAGCAAAAACTATGCAAAAAAAACCCTTAAATATCTTGATGCTGTTCTTTGACTTTCTAATCCTGCTCTGACTTTCCTGGCATTGAACCTTTTTGAAATTTTTGAATTGAAATTTTTTGAACTCATGAACATTTGACTATGGACATTACTGAAAGGAATCATTCTGCAGGGGGTTATGCTACTGTCGGAGCAGCCGCCTTCTCGGGTGCAGTGACTCACACAATCTCCGTCAGCGTGATCGTTTTCGAGATGACAGGCCAAATCACTCACATCGTTCCTATTATGATAGCCGTGTTGATCAGTAACGCTATCGCCGCTCTTCTTCAGCCTAGCATATACGATAGCATTATTCTTATCAAAAAGCTACCATACTTACCGGATCTGCTGCCGTCCAGTTCGGGTAAGTTTAGCATCTTTGGAAGTGATTTAGATTCATACTGTACTAAACCACATTTCTTGTTACTTTGGACAAGCTTCCCAAAGGGAGTTTGATAACGAGGTAATGAATTTTATCGGTTACTTCCTTATTCGCTTACGTCGATTACGTTGAAATTAAACTGTTTAATGACTATCGTAATTATCGCAGGGATGTACAACGTTTACGTCGAAGACTTCATGGTTCGCGACGTTAAGTACATTTGGCACGGTATCACGTATCAGAGATTGAAGGAAATCTTGAAGGAAAACCGCAAACTACGTGGTTTCCCTCTAGTGGACAACCCGGATTCCATGATTTTACTTGGGTCTATTCAAAGGCTGGAGTTGATTAAGCTGATCGAAAAACACATAGGACGCGAAAGAAGGTTGCAGGTAATTACTGTGACATCAGCGTTGATACTAACCGAGGCTTCGGAGTATAAATAGTATTCTTTAGAATACTCCAACATTTCTAGAGAGCTGCAGCTTACGTCAGTAGGAGTTTAAAAGTATCCTACCCAAAGGACACGGGTTATAGTCGAAAGTCTCGATTAGTATCACCTATGAAATTCCAGGCCGTGAAATCCTAAAAGTTCTCAGCGTGACATTGATTTCATCAACCGGTTTTTTTATTTAGCTCTTTATACATACACTTTTATCTTGATACCGGTAAAGTGAACCGGTGCCAAAAGCCCACTTTCTCTTCGATTTTGATAACCTTGAAATATATTGTTAAGGACATCATTTTGAACAAATTTTCTTTATACATGTATACAGCGGTCGGTTTTAATTTTCCAGATATTTGCACAAATATTCTGTAATATTTGACTATATGCAGCTGCAGAAGGCTCACGTAACAAGTTGTATGATTTCTTCTTCAGGTGGCACAAAAGTGGCATCAAGAAGCAGAAGAACGAGCTCGAGAAGAAATGGAGCGTCAGCTGAGAGATCAGGAGAGAACGAGGAGACCGTCCAGGTTCGAAGTAATCCCAGCACCAGATATTCTTAAAATGCAGAGGCAAAGTGTTAACGATCTAACTATGTCTCCAAATAACGGCACTGGTCCAGATCACGTGAGTCATATCTTGTTGACGTCACTCCACAAGAATTACGTCCTTTTGCTCCATGAATTAGCTACTCACACTAGCACGCGTCTCCTTGTTTCACGTTTGCATGATCTCATAATTTTACAGCACACTTATCACTCACCGATATTCGGATCGCAGCCAAAAAAATCAATCCTGAAGAAAACTAATTCCTTCACGTTAAAAGGATTTAGCCCGCTAGTCAGTCCAGCCGTCACGCCGTACACCACCGTCACCGGAGCAGAGAGCAGGTGAGAAGTAGTAACTTCGAAAAAACTAATTAGTAATATTATAAAAATAAAACTCTTTCCAGCTAACAAGGGACCATACCGAAGTGTAAATGATCAATCTTGATGAAAATTGGTGGGTTTGTAGTTCTCATAAATTCATTCGACACATATTTTTTTTTAGCTGCTATTATCCGCATTAAGAGGTTGAAATCAACCCTCAAAATTTTGGGTGCAGAACATACTTTGTTGAATATCTCGGAAACCATTATAGATACAGGCTTGCCGTAAATTGATGAAATTTATGTTTTTGAACGACGATTTTGATGGTGTAAATAGATTTTCAAAATTCCCATTTGTTTATATAATATGTTCAAAAAAAATATATTTTTTTTATTTTTCTCGTTAAATGTTATCTTATTTTGTTTCTCCATTTGCACAAAGAAACTACACATCCATGTACAAAATGCGGTAAATTGGAATTTTTATGTTATGTCAGTTAACAAATATTTTATATTTATCATTTTTTCCATACTTCATGCCATACGAAGTGACAGATCAAATGTAATACAACTCATACTATGATTTAGTGATTTTTGTTTAAGTATATTGTAGTATGCTTTGCTTGGCTGGTCTCAAAATGTTACAATGATGGATTAACGACAGGTATAAGTTACCTGCGTTCCGCTCTGTATTACAGGACAACGCGCGTAGAAATAAGTACTGTTTCAGCTTAACGATTGCAGGACCTGTTTGTTAATGTAATACCTTTCTCCACGAATCTTTATTGCCCGAGAGTCATTTTAAAATGTATTAGTTTAGTTTTATTTTCAGTTTCGATTTATAAACGTGGGGTAGCTCTAGAAAGGATTCTTCTTATTATCGACTTCTGCCTATCCTCAAATGTTCGTAATTGTTGCTTGAGATATAAAAATGTTGTCGAAGCGATCTTTTACTGTCAATTGTTCCAACATTATCGTAGAGCTTCACGTTACTAATCTGTTAAAGGAAAGTCCTACATCTCTCATACCTTCCGTCTTTGGAAAATGAACTTTGTAAATGTTTCTGTTTGGTTACAATGATTAGAGTAGCGATACAAGCATTAGTACTTCAATCATATTGAAACTATATCAGAAGTTGATGCTTAATTTCAACTATGTAGTTCTGTGGGTGTTCGTTGTACAGTATACAGTTGCTGTGATTGTTATTAGAAGTTGTTGTTCTGTCGCAAGGAACATAAAACGTAGAAATTTTGTTGATACGTTTATGGCATGCGCGCGAGGAAAGGTTACTGTTGAGGATTAAGGTGGTTCGAGTCTTTTTGCATTTAATGGTTTTTAGAATATTTAATTGCCGTTTTGACCTCAATAACCAAAGTGTCGTTAACTCTTTGTCAGAATTCCGAAGGATGGACTCAAACTACGATTCGAACAAGGGGACCACTCGGACGTTGGTCCCATCTGAAGGAAATTTCTGCCGTTTGTTGGACCATCAAACTTCTCATGCCTACCGAGACACTCCTCCCCTATTTTTCTAAAACACCGAAGTGGGGGGAGGGGGATGTCTAGAATGACCTGAGTGACTCTTCGACCAGGAGACACATTCATTCAGTCAACGACCAACGTGAATAACGGACATATCGAAAACTACCCGCAGTTTTAAATCGAGTCAAGTTCGAACGAAAGTGGAGTGAACGTTTGAGATTCCAATCCTTTAACGTTAGTTAAATTGCCGGACACTAGTTGCGAAGGGTGTTCTGGATAGAATCAGCCCGATGGAACGAGGAGAGGCGATAATGACTGCCAGTAAAAAAAGTCTGTATCTGCGTGAATCGTTAGGGCGATTCACGGCTATCATGCTATCAGTGGGGGCATGGCTTGACCATTTCCTGACTTTACAGACCTCGCATGGGGATTACGACCTTAAATACAATGATTTGCAATTCTTTTGACGATGTAGTTTGTTTAAAATGTTCCTGGTGCAAAAACACTTCTGCTTCGAACACTTTTTCGAAAATTATCACTATTGTGAAGATTACAGCGATTGATTCTTAAACTAACTGTACAACATTCGAACTTTCACAGCACTGTAATACAACCAGCCCTTTTCAGGGCTCCCAAATATATTTCATGTGGGAATATCTCATTGTCAGGTTCGCAAAAGTTCTTTTCAGAGCTACCCCACGTTTATAAATCGAAACTGAAAATAAAACTAAACTAATACATTTTAAAATGACTCTCGGGCAATAAAGATTCGTGGAGAAAGGTATTACATTAACAAACAGGTCCTGCAATCGTTAAGCTGAAACAGTACTTATCTCTACGCGCGTTGTCCTGTAATACGGAGCGGAACGCAGGTAACTTATACCTGTCGTTAATCCATCATTGTAACATTTTGAGACCAGCCAAGCAAAGCATACTACAATATACTTAAACAAAAATCACTAAATCATAGTATGAGTTGTATTACATTTGATCTGTCACTTCGTATGGCATGAAGTATGGAAAAAATGATAAATATAAAATATTTGTTAACTGACATAACATAAAAATTCCAATTTACCGCATTTTGTACATGGATGTGTAGTTTCTTTGTGCAAATGGAGAAACAAAATAAGATAACATTTAACGAGAAAAATAAAGAAAATATATTTTTTTTTAACATATTATATAAACAAATGGGAATTTTGAAAATCTATTTACACCATCAAAATCGTCGTTCAAAAACATAAATTTCATCAATTTACGGCAAGCCTGTATCTATAATGGTTTCCGAGATATTCAACAAAGTATGTTCTGCACCCAAAATTTTGAGGGTTGATTTCAACCTCTTAATGCGGATAATAGCAGCCAAAAAAAAATATGTGTCGAATGTATTTATGAGAACTACAAACCCACCAATTTTCATCAAGATTGATCATTTACACTTCGGTATGGTCCCTTGTAAGTAGAAACTTGGTTGCATCTATGAAAATTACATAAGACACTGTTCTATGAGGCATCTTACCACGTTAGACTCGGAGCCAAATTCCCTATACTGTCCGTTCAAGGAACAAATGGCGCTCAACGGATGCTTGATCATAGAAAGTATAGGGTGATCCGCTCGCTAGTAGACATAATAGACAACCACAGCAATAGCCGACCGTCATTGTAGACTTTATGACGGTGACCCCCGTAACGAAAGCGGCTGTATGGGTGAAAATGTGTGTGCCAAGCAAAAACGTCCTTCGCTGCAGTGGTCATCGTCATAAAGATCGTCTACAATGACGGTTGGCTATTGTTGTGGTTGTCCATTGTGTCTACTAGCGAGCAGATTACCCTGTACAAAGTTACGCTTTTGCTGCGGGGGTCACCGTCATAAAGTTGTCACGGCGTTCTCGGTGGACGAACCGTCGCGAAGGAGGGCGTCGAGTCAGTCGGTCGCCGGGATTCGAGAGGTAGAACCGGATCCTAGTCGCTAGCGGATCGGTTCAGCGCTTTGAAGTCACGTTTGCGGCTCGGATTTCGCGTCGCAACCTAAAGGTGAGGTCCCATGTATGTAATGCTCGTGCTCGAGCAATAAATTATCCGTGCTCGCCGGATTTTGTTCGAAAACACGTTCCTACTAGCGTCCAAAAGGTCGCTGAATCCGACGACAAACGGTTTGGAACCACTTGAAAGGATCGATTTTTACGAGCGTTTGGGTCTCGGCCCATGGTCTAGGCTTGCGAGCACGGGGGACTATTCCACGCGAGAATGGATCGAACGATCAAAAAGATCGACCCTTTCGAGTGGTTCGAAGCAAGACCCCCAATACTTGTTTTCACCGAGACCGTAGGCGCCTACCTGGGTCCGCTCAAAGGTCTGGGGTTAAACGGGCGATCAACTCATCAGTTTTTGATAAAATCGAATTCTTTATTTTTCATCGTATCAACGTGAACGCGATGCCATTGGAATCTTGGTGTTCTTTCCGATTAAAATGATATCTCACGTCGCATAAATCGAACTATTTTTATCGAAATAACTTTTCAATTATGCAATCAGATTTTGCATATAATTTCGTTAAAAATAGTTCGATTTACGCGATGTGCGATATCATTTATGACATCCCCTTGTCGACCGCCCGTTGCGATGATGGTGCGTGGCCTTTTTCGGGATTCCGTGCTCGTTTAAGTGTTTGCCGCTCGTTGTGCCAGCTCGCCTGAGTCCATCAGACCCTCCTGCGCGACGAGTTGACAGTTTCAAGTAGATATTGCTCGTGCTCGCCGCCCGAACTTACATACATGGGACCTCACCTTAAGGGTGCATAATCCTTTACAGAGGCTTACCAGGTAGGGGAATAGCGGCAGCGGAAGCTCGTAGGAAGTGCCCCAAGGGGGTCGAATCGGCAGCGCAAACACACCTTTTCTTCTCGGGCGAGTGGCCGTGGAAACCCGAACACGGGTGTTGGCGCAGACACGTCTTTCGGTGACCGGGGTTGTTCCACGATTCGAGGCCGAGGGCACGAGAGGTTAAAGGGAGTTAATCACGTTCTTAGAGTGATCTCAAGGTCGATCTCCTTGAACGGGCTCCGCAGGAGAATAGCAATAGGCTTTACAACCAAAAATTACGAGAGCGTTTGAACCGCTAGAATGTGGTTACATTTTGTACTCCAGTGTGTACACGTAATGCACGTTCAGGCGTTCTACCCGTTAAGCGTTGCGGCAACGGTACTTATGTGCGGCGCTCCCCACTTTCGCTAGTGAGAGAGCGCCGCGCGTCAGCGTGGCCTAGCGGCAGCCGGCAGAACTATTTCTGGGAGAGAAAAGACAAGCGCGCAATACCGAGAGGGACAGGATCGCGTCTAACTCTTACGTTACAAAGTCTACAATGACGGTCGGCTATTGTTGTGGTTGTCCATTGTGTCTACTAGCGAGCGGATCACCCTGTACAGTCACTGGTAGGGATCGTGAGGTCGTAAAATCGGTCGGAAATCGAGCTTTACAACTTAAGCTGACCGCAATTAGTAATCTGACACTTTTTAACCGACTTCGAAAAGGAGGAGGTCATTCAATTCGACATGTATATTTATGTTTTTTGTTTTTTTTTTTTTAGACAAGGATGGAGCTAGCCTTTTTGTTCAGGACTGTACGATATTAGAAATAGTAGGATCATATTTCAATAACTTTATTCTTCTTATGTATGTTCAGTATTCACACATAATTCTGTAATGGATGAATCGATTACCATAAAACTTTTTCGTTTTGTAAAGTACATTCTGGCCGGGGAGGGGGAGGGATGTAGTCCAGTTTAATCAAATTGACCGTGTTACGAGCCAAGGCGATAGCGACGCGCGTGTGAGCCCTGCAAGTGGGTTGAATTCAAGAATCGGAGAAGATACGATTAGTCCTGTTTATTTCAATGGATCCAAAGATTGAGGATGGAGTAGAAGTCACAGACGACTCTGACGTGAAGTCAGATAGCTGCTGGGAATTGGTATCTCCCGGTAAAGGGTAACCGTAGGGTCGGTATCTCCCAGTAAAGGGTAACCGTTGAGAAGGTTAGGTAAAGAATAAGAAAGGAAAGATTGGTATCTCCCGATTAAGGGTAACCGTGGGATCGGTATCTCCCGGTGAAGGGTAACCGTTGGGAAGGTTAGGTAAGGATTGAATCGTATCGTTGAAATATAATACGCGTCGTGGATAAAGCCTGGCAACTATTAATTCTAAACAAATAATAACTCGAGCAGTAAAGTTATTATGTTGTGGGGTTGTTACACTGGTTAGGATTGCTTATTCGAATGGTGAATGTTTAATAATGATTTATCAGACCTTTTAAGGTTAACAAATGATTATATATTCAAAACTGAATAATTCTAATAATACAATTGTACAGTGTCGTGTTGTCGCGGTTAGTGTATGTATTTAATTACCTAATTGTTGCACGGTGTTAACGCACTGGCGATGCGGGGGTCGAGAATGCTTCTATGCCGTAATAGATTTTGTACCGTCCTCGCGGATCTATATGGTTAATGTTGATCGAAAACGATCTGAAGCCCGATCTCACTGAAGCGCAACTCTGAAGACGATCGGCGTGACTTTACCAAGTAACTCTTTCGCACTAATCCCGCGAGTAACGAAAATCATGGGTTTATATACCCCTGGATATTGGTAGGGATACGTCATTGATTCCCATATATGGAAATTTGGCGGTTGAGATTTTCATTACTCAGAGGTGAACATCTGTGGGGCTTTAGGGAAAGTTTAGATAAAGGGTTACCCACGCAACGCGAGTTAAAAGATGATTATGAGAAAAGTATGGTACAGCTGCAGGATGCACTTTGGTAAGAATCCACATTACAAGGGGTAGATAAAATAAATGAACGCGAGCTTCGAAAAGAACGGGTGTGCATACGTAACAACAGAAATATTTATGTTTTAAGGTAATAATAATAACGAAAAATATTACTTTTCACTTTCCGATACTTTTATTTTAAGGCGGTTTTTTATTTAAGAAGTTTCCTTTACCTTGGATGGTATGTGTATAATATTAGGTTCGGGGAGTATCTTTTAACAAACTGCAGCATGATTGAATCCGCAATTTGTAAAAGGACTCTACTAACTGAAAATACTGTGGTAGAAACTTAGTTAACCAATTATCGTCAACAGTTTTTGGTTTTTCGTATTTAATCTTGGGGCCCTGGATTGCAACGTGGGCATCTATACATTACAGCCGCGACATCCCTGGCGTCCCAGGGATCATTTACCTGTGCCAATAAAGCAATAACTGCTGTTTCGGTTTACGATCTCATAAGATCCCTACCAGCGATTGTACAATACTTTCCATGTTTCTTACTGTTCGATAACGATTTTTATTCTTGTCTCCTTTTTCTAACCGTTGAAATTTAAAGCAACATTAGAAGATGAACTATTAAAACACGAGATAATTGTAAAGGGGAGACAGGTTCTTTTTCCGCTTTAACACTTTAGAGAATACCTTATTTTAACATACATTCGATCCGACTAGGACTGTGGTCGTATTGTCGAACATCAGAGTGAACCGACTTTTATTTAACGTTAATCATCTGCCTTTCGACAGACTCGCCGCTCGCCCCACAGGCCAGAGGCAACACACGTTAAACTTCTCCAATATGAACTCTTCTCTACTTTTTTAATTTTTTTTTTTTACTCGTGGAAAATGCTTTACGCATACCCCTCCTCCCCTGGGATAGAGGCGGGGCTATGTGGGACTAGGCGGCCTGAAGGGCCTACCCTACCCACTAAAAACCACACGACAACCTATCCTGAACTAATTGAAGAAGGCTGGGAACTCCTACAGAACACTACCAGCCACCTCCGCCCCTGACCCTGCGGGTCCCATGCCCGGGGGGGGGGGAGAGAGGCTCCCTCCAGCAAATAACCCAAGCTGTCAGGTGCAAGCAGGTTGCGCACTTCCACCCCCCCCCCCTCATGGGTTATCCGTTGGGTTTCGCAAGTCTCCAGTTCGCTCCACCCGACAACCCCCGGCGACCACGTTCTCCGCCCGAGGAGCCCAAAAGGGCTGTAGCCTTCTCTACCTTCCTTCTTCAAAGTTGTCTCACATTTTCAGGATACGCTTGGCCTTCGAAGCGATCTTCCGCAAATCCGCTACGCTTCAGGACGTAGACCCAGACCCAGAGTTAGGATCCGCCGGTAGCGCAAGACGCGACAGCCAGGATGGCATGAATGTTCCACCTCACACGCCCATGCTAATTCCGAGCCCAGCCACATCAAAGAAAGTGCAACTGGTAAATTTAAACGTTTTTCTAAGCCAAGGCTTCTCCCTAATATTCTACATCTCGTGTACCTGCCAGCAATATAGTAATTTTTGCTAACCAAAAATGACTTATGAGAAACAATTGAATCATATTTACTACATGAATCAATACAAATATACATTACATTAACTGATGGCATTTTTGCTAATTCTTCTTATTATTTTTACCAATTAGTGTAAATGTATGCCACACATAAAATCAAAGTGTACTACGGGTTTATCCCACTTAAGGTTCAAGGACCATTGATTTTCCTTTTCCTAGCTAGTCATACTAGATGCGCATATAACGTTGTGGTGGCACCTCCGCTTCTTACCACCAGAGGAAAACCACGCGTTTCCTATAAGCACTCGATCCCGCTTAATTTTTCTACACTGAACGTCAACAAATTCGAGACACTTTTTTCAAAACGTCATAAATATGAAAGTTTTCAACTGATCTTTGAGAAACTTCATGAGACTTACTTTTGAAGTGTCCTCTGGGTGTGTGCAAAATTGCATTGACGAGAGTTGATGAGAAGGGGTTAATTAACCCCTTTACATGGGGTAGTGCAAAAAAACAGCACTTCGGAAGGGTCCAAGGGTGATGGAAGGCGGTGAAAAAATCAAAAAAACCTTTGGGGTGACTCTCCTTGATGTCCTCTACAAAATGCACCCCTTGAAATCTCTCTCGGACAAACCCACCTAACACAAATCCACAATTTTTCGACTACAGACTCAAATCTGGGCTCAATGAATTCCCTGGAATTCCCTGATCCAGGAAACGCCAGCGCCCACGCCGTACGCTCCATAGGCACCCCTTTGGAGGGAAGGGGCGGAATAGGTTACTATTTTTCACCCCCCGCCCCCCGCCCGGTGAAAGGGCACTTCCACACATCAAAGGGTGATGAAATTCACCAGATTTGTTGTCGATATGCTAAGGATCAATGCCAACAAGATCCAGTTTCGAAAGCTGCTCCTGGAGCTGAAGAGGGGTGACCCAAAGTTAGGGGTGGTTTACCCCCAGGCGTAGGGGTTGAAATGTTGCCACAACGCGTGCCGAGCATGTCATAGGGTCCGAGGCATCGGGCCAAACACAGTTTTGATGTTTTTTCCCCGCGTGGACAGTATTAAAAAACAAAAACGTTGTTTTTTTGGAAAATCCTCCCCTAAGTTTAGGCCCGTTTGCAGTGTGAACGAGTAACCCCACGTCAACGCCGCTCGTGGATTCGGACACGCGAATGCTTTATTAACAGATACCCAAAAAATCAGATTTTATTGAATCACGCTTTTATTGCCAAATCGAGGCAGATTTAAAAGGGCAGCAAGTGGACCGGACGAAGCCGCTATTCAGAAGTGGAGCGTGGGCCTGCACCCGTACGTGGTCAGCCCACGTTAAATTGGAGTCCGATCTGGTCTGACCATGTACGGGTGCAGGCCCACGCTCCGCTTCTGAATGTCGGTTCACTTACTACTCTTTCAAATCTTCTCCGATCCCTTCTCATCAACCTTCGTCAATGTAACTTTGCACACACCCAGAGGACACTTCAAAACTAAGTGTCTCGAATTTTTTGACGTTCAGTGTATATAAGCCCTTCCCGACCAAACTCCAAATATCCCGGCGTCTAAAGCGTCCCACAGACTGCTCTGGCGTGACGTGAGTCCACGTCAGACACAAAGCGGTGTCAGATTAACGCCTGCGCGTAGCTTATAAAACCAACTGTTACGAAGCGGTCAGATTGGCGCCTGCGCGCAGCTTATGAAATCAACTGGCGATGCCGTGCAACGGTTGACACCACTTGGTCTCTGACGTGGGCCCACGTCACGTCAGACAAGAAGCGGTGTCAGATTTGCGCCTGCGCGTAGTTCACAAAACCAACCGTTGCACGGTATCGTCAGTGGATTTCATGAGCTACGCGCAGGTGCCAATCTGACACCGCTTCATGTCTGGCGTGGGCCCACGTCATGTCAGAGCAGTCTGTGGGACGCTTTAGGTAGCCTTACTGACGAGTCCACTAGCAGGCCCGGAACGAAACGCTCCTTTTTTTTCTCCTCTCTCTCACTCTCCCTCTACAGGCATCAAGCCCACACCGGAATCGTAATAACTAGCTCTCTCTTCGTTACTTGGTTCATCGAGACCGTATAATTACATAAAGCCCCGTTTTACATTGGTCTCTTGCGTTATAAGGTCTTTTATCCTTTGGTTCTTCCTTACTGGTGAACCTTAAAACTATATCAGGAAATAAAGCGCACGTATCATTGTTAAGAAGCCCTGCTCTAGATCTTTACACCCGAACGAGTGCAAGATAATACAAAATGACTTTTTAATTTCGCCAGCCACGCGAGAGAGTAATAGACATGTCGGCTGAAAATCAGAAACGATGGGAGGAGAGCGAAATGGCTTTGGAAGTCGATTTCTCCAGGTGCCATATCGACCCGGCACCCTTCCAATTGGTAGAAAGGACGTCTCTTCTGAAAGTACATAGTCTGTTCAGCATGGTGGGAGTAAACCATGCTTACGTGACGGCTATAGGAAGACTGGTTGGGGTTGTCGCATTAAAAGAGGTATGTCCAATCTACTATGCAAAATCTATTATAATTAGTACTATTATGCTTTGCTCGATTTGAGCTGTCGATAATTATTAAGGCAGTATGTAGTTCATCTTAGGAAGTAGAACTCTTGAAGTATCATTCAACCTGAAATATATCAAGTTTTGCCAAACACAGACTTTGAACTGCTCGAATCGAGTAATGAAACATACCTAATTGAAGGATTATTTAAATAAGGCCTTAAGATTATATTTTAATAAAATACAAATGGTATGGAATATATCAGATCATTGCTGACTGGTTATTTAAAGTAAAAACTATTACGTGGAACCGATTACTTCCTCACAGTTCCATATAAAATGAATACATTTGACTTACACTTTTAGGATTATTTTGTGCTAAAGCTGGATAATTTAATGAAATATTTAGAAGTCGCGTAGAGCAGACAAAAATCGTTAAATAGTAGATTAAATGTATGCAAATATGTGTTACAGGGGACCTTGATTATACTTGTTGCCAAATTTTTTTAAGATACAGAGTATCCTACCCCTTTAATAAGAAAAAACTTTTGGGACACTTGGGTCTTGGGACTTGGGACACCCTGTATATAGCACATAAAAACGCACTACAACGGTTCAAACTTGCTCCGAGAGCTTGTATCATACACGATTTATACTCGCACAGTCAAAAAATGAGGGTCCTGGGCTCGCAGATCTGTACTGTTAGTTGTTGGGTAGCTGGCGCGCGTAACGGCGACACCTCTACCCGCACGCATCTTTTGTATTGGCCAGGTCAAAAAACAAATTTTTGCTATTGGTCAAGGACAAACGCTACGACGCGACGAAGGCCGTGAACAAGATAGAGCGAGAGAGCAATAGAAACTATTGGCGTAACGTTAACCCTCGGACACCGTACGCTCGCACGAACGACGGAGCCAAGAGCTTCGTGAAGTTGGCACCCCCAAATGCAAATTTTGATAAAAATCAAATTACATTTGTTTGTCCACGATTTGTCCATGTTTGTCCAACTACAATTTTCATTTGTCCACCCTTCTAAAAAAAGATTTACTTTAATTAAGGTGAAGATGGAGCGATGCGTTCAGGCGCGTACAGTCTTTGTCAGTTTTGTAGTTATTTATTTACATCTGGACAAAACTACTAGTGTTTTTCGTTTGTCCAGCAAGTATTTTCGTTTGTCCAACCGATATTTTCATTTGTCCACCCCTCAGAAAATAAATATGACTATTGGTGAATTATCCCATCAAGGAGAGTCGCTCCAATGGTTTTTTTGAATTTTTCAATTCCTTCCGTCATCCCTGGCCTGTTTCAAAGAGACGTTTTTTTACACCCTCCCCTTTAGGTGGGTGATTTAATCCCTTCACATCAACCCTTGCCAATGCAACTTTGCACACACCCAGAAGACACTTGAAGACTATTTCTCACGAAGTTTCACCGAAATCGGTTGAAAACTCTCATAGTTATGAGCATTTGAAAAATCGTTCCGGTTTGCTTGTTCGGTAGTGTATAAAACATAATTTATTTTTTAAATTAATATTATTACCATGTTACATAAAAACGGGGAAACATGAATAATTAAAATATAAATAAAATGTTGCAATAACACAAACAATTTCTGCATTTTAATTGTTAATTTACATCCAACGGTATATACCACATACATATTCACCTTAATAATGATTAAATTGATAAATATGATACGTAAGTGTAAGTAGCGATAATACATTTTCCTAATCTATCCATAACCTCTTCCTAAGGGTTACACAAACGAAAATTTGAATTGAAAAAACGAATAACGTTAGTGGTTCTGCGGAGACATAAATAATTAGCTACAAAATTGACAAGACAAGGACAAATGACCCGCAACCGAGCGAATCGCTGCAACTTTTCCTTCATTGCAGTGTATCTTTTTTCTGAGGGTTGGACAAATGAAAATATCGGTTGGACAAACGAAAATACTTGTACAAACGAAAGACGCTAGTGGTTTTGTCCAGATGTAAATAAATAACTACAAAACTGACAAAGACTCTGCTCTAGAGAGAGGGACACTCGGTCCGCCTAAAACACCCGAGGTTCCCCCTTTTTTCACGCTGCATAGACGTAAGATCCATTACTTTCGCGTCGTTCGTGCCAGCATCCGGTGTCCGAGGGTTAACGTTACGCCAATGATTTTTATTACTCTCTCGCTCTTTCTTGTTCACGACCTTTGTCGCGCGGTAGCGTTTGCCTTGGCCAAATACTGAAGATGCGTGCGGGTAGGGGCGTCGATCTTCCGCGCGCTAGCTATCCAGCAAAGCAGAGTACACACCTGGAAGGTACACAGTAGTTCGCATAGTCGAGGGCTGCGCCCCAAATTCCCCCACAGAGGGCGAGCCCCCGGACCCCCATTTTTTGCCATATGAATAAAGATCGTGCATGTTACAAACTTTCGGAACAATTTTACTGTCTTTATTATCTTCATTTTACATACTCATCAACCTCCTGTTTCTTATAGTGTCCAGTCCTCTTCAATCCTTTCCTCCCTATTACCTAACTCCCTCCTCTTTCTCAGCACCTCCCTTCTCATTCCCTCATCCTGCAGCCTTCCCACCACCATTTCCTTCCCACTCTCTCCTATCTGCGTCGCACTCTCCACCTCCCCTTTACGCCTATTCTCTCCAACACTTCCTTAACCATGATTTTCTTCTTTCCCCGTTTCGTTCTGAACCCCCTAATTAAAATGTTTCTTCTCCTCTCCGCCCTATCCGCCATTTCAACTCTTCTCTCCAACTCCTTCAACTTTTCCTCCCATTCCCTCCCTCTCCGTCCATCCTTCTCTTTCTCCCTCTCCTCCATTCCTCCCCTCTGCTTCTCCTATCCTCTTTTCCAACGCCTCCATTTTTTCAATTAATTCCTCCTTCTCCAGCCTCCACACCTCCTCCCTCCTCCTCATCTCCTTTAATTCCCTTATCTCCTCCTTTGTTGTCCCCCTCCCCCTCTATCGCAGCCGCCATTCCCTCTATCTTTTCCTCCAACTTCACATCCCTTTCTCTTATCTCTCCCCTCAATACCGTTATTATCCTTATCAACCCTTCTATTCCCATTCTTTCCATCTTTCCCTCTTCCCTCCCCGGCGACCTTGGCGTCAAACTACTCGTTTGGAAGATATCTCTTCCTCATCCACCCGAAGCCTCTCCCTGCTCCAAATCTCCCTACTTTTCCACACTTCCATCGCTTCCTTTTACCCCCTTCACTCCCTTAACCCCACCTCCTCCTTTCACACTCCTTGTCTCCATCCCTACTCCTTTGTATCCCCATTTATCCTCACCTCCTTCTTCCTCTACCTTACTCACCTCCATCCTCTTTCTTGTTACCTTCTCCCTGCACCCTACTTTACCGACTCCTTCTTACCGATTCCTTCTTTCCGATTCTTTGCTTCTCTAGATCGCCGCTACGCGACTCTCCTTTCCTTCCCTGACCTCCTCCCCTTTCCCTTCCTTCTTGCACCGTCCTTTACCACACTTTTTTGCCCTTTCTATCCCTTTTCCCTTCACTCCTCTTTCTACTCTTTCCCACCCTAACCTTATTTTCTCTCGCTTATCCACGCCTTTCCCTCGTCACCCTTCTTATCCCAAAACTCCTCTTTGATCTTCCTAACCTCACTTTTCTCTACACACTCTTTTTCTGACTCTATCCCAATACCGTCGGAAACGGAAGCCAACTGTTTATTATACAGGGTGTCCCAAAAGTTGGGGAGGAGCCGGAAATGGGGGGTAGCTGAGACGATTCTGAACAACAATTTGGATGGGGCTTCGTTAAGGAGATATTAAGAGAAAACCCCGACCAATCATAGCGCGCGTAGACCGTTCGAGCGGCCGCGGTAGCGCTACGCGCTGGCGGCCGCGCTTGTACGCGAACAAGTAACTCGACGTGCATCGAAGGACATTGACGCTGCCGCCTAGCGCGTAGCCTTCGCTACCGCGGCCGCTCGAACGATCTACGCGCGCTCTGATTGGTCGGGGTTTTCTCTTAATATCTCCTTAACGAAGCCCCATCCGACATTTTTGCAAAGGAAATTGTTGTTCAGAATCGTCTCAGCTACCCTCCATTTTCGGCTCCTCCCTGACTTTTGGGACACCCTGTATTACACGACAGTAGTCGTCTATTCATTATCAATCTATTAAAAACGAGCGACGGCTACAACCTCTTGGATGTTACTCAGGACGGTGCCATTGGCAACATATATCAAGGTCAAAGTCATTGGGGCGAAGACCCCTATTTGACATTTTTGCCTTAAAAAATTATACATTATTAAGTCAACCCATATACAGTATATTCTCACGCCTACCCTTTGTAAATATTATTGTTGCAGCTGAGGAAAGCGATAGAAGACGCAAACGCCGGAATTTTGCCCATGCATCAGGAATCCCATATCGGGTTGTCAACCTCCAGCCTCGCAAAGAGTGAGACGGATACGGAAAGCAAAAACATTAGCACGATGAACTCCATCGCTTCCGTTGATTGTGAGAAAGTGGAAAAAGTCTGAGAGGCGAGTGTTAGAGAAAGGAGAAGAGAGACGGAGCTAGGGTGATAAGTAAAAGCAAAAATGTGATAGTTGCGTTACTGAACACGTGACGCGACTCGAACGATGCGAGAGACGTGTTTTTGTTAAAATGTTCCCTTCCATCTGCAACCGTGAACACACTTGAGAAATTCCAGCAACAAGTCCCCTGGTAGCCGCTTGCGTGTTGCAACGATTGCTTTCGTACGCCCCTCTCGTACTTAACCGGGGACAAGATTATGTCGTGTTTAAAACCAAATCACGCGTTCTGCGGTATCTGTCACCGTCTATGACTGTGGCTTGGAAACTGTAAACAATTAAACGGGTTACTTGCAGTATAATTTGAGACTTTCGAGGCTCAGATTCTCAGGTTAATACCGTTCAAGACTTCTTTATTTTATAAGACGTTTGCTTTTGTATTTTATCGACATTGCAACTTTGTCAAACAAAATAGTTCTCCCGCTAGTTTCTTATAAACATTACAGACTTTTAAACATTGCGGCAATAACTCGATGTTTGTATATAGGATTCTACAAATATCTCTACCGGACCACAATAATCCACTGAGTCGACGCTATAGATATAGCGCTATAGACTTGAGTCGGCCTAGTAGGCCTTATTTTACCTACAGTAGAGAATATATACAAGCGCTAGTTTATCTCCACGACGTTTAAAAAACATGCCCTTCTAGGCATCTAGCGAAGGAATTACTCTATACTTCTGACGATAAGTACATATAGAACGTCGGTAGTATCGGTATCAACATTAGCATTGATAAAAGTGTTAGCATCGATACTGTACCATTATTAGTATATTGTCAAACCTTTGTAAAAACTCCGTTGGCAGTTGTAAACTCCGAGAGCCTCGAACGGTATCGACTGTTGTTAATGGTATTCGTACGCGAAGAAGGAAGACTTTCGTATCGAAGATTTCATTAGGGTCTATAAAAACTTTCCTTTCTTCCTTAGACGAATCTTTCCAATAATGAGAGAGCATCATTCGCTTCGCATTGTATTTTAGAACCGTAGCATAATAAATTATAATAAGAAGAGTTACCAGATACGTGCGTCCACATGTGTGACCGTGATATGTCGATAATTTGTTCGCGACATCATGCTCAAAGGATATCTTCTTCGTTGGTTTGACGACGCGAACGCCAAGTAAATGTATCGGAGCTCCTCGAAGACTAGGTATTATAAAAAGAACGGCGGTGCTCCGGTGACGGGAATCATTAAGGTGATTAATAATTATTACGTTCCAGAAAACGTGACAAGTGTAGTTTACAATGTGACCAGTCATGAAGGAATGCGAATTCGAAATTCAAACTGCTGAATGTTCTTATAGTAAACTGATTATCTGACCATGGTTGTGCCAACCTATTTATTCTAATTGTTAATCGTTAGATATCAGCAAGCGGAAGTTAAGAAGTCATGTAGGTCTATTGTTCCAAACGATGTCTTCGTAGGATTAGATTACATCGTTTAAAGCAGCTTGGACTATTCGCTACCAAGCTGTTAGCTTTGAATTATATTAAATTGGTAACATTATTGCTCCATGATTTAGATCGAAACTAATACGCAAACTCGAGTTAAACTTTACTTTGGGGCACCAAACATTACTAACTTTTTTTTATACCAGTTAGTAGTTTTTAATGCCCAGATTACGAAAATGTAAGTTAAAATGTTAGGAATCCAACGGCGAAGAAGATACGCGTGTGTAAATTTGAGCATTTTTGACGTATTTAGCTGGTTAATCCGACGTTACATTGGCTTTGACCGTGCGTTTGGTTGGTAACATGAAGACTGCATAAGGAGTCCTAACTGTGTTGTGTAGAAGTGTTATCAAAATCCCGAGCTTGAAGTTATGAATATTTCTACCACTCGCGGCGCAACTGAATACAGACTACGATATATATGTGTCATATGTGTATGATAATATATACAGTAGTTTGTGCGCACTTGCGCTGCAAGTAGACGAAATATTCATAACTTCAAGCTCGGGATTTTGATAACAATTTTCTAGTAACTTCCTTAGGGAGTTGGATCTCCGTATACAGTCTTCATGGTTGGTAATTACGTCGATAATAGCATTGTGTTATAAACAGACGATCACAGATGGCGCGATCGTTTGTTATGAACGATTGTAACGGGTGTCTACAGTTTCGAGACGTATACTTTCAGCTCAAAATCCTTCTACAAAATTTAAAAAGCATACGCTTTGAAACTAGACGCGAGCTGGGGGGTTGCGCCCCCAGATCCCCTGCCGAGCGGGGGGCTACGCCCTCTCGATCCTCGCGAAACTATAAACACCCCTCAGGCCAATCGTGTACACAGCTGCGTGGTGCGCTGCAGTACTCGTTGTTGTGGGCTTGGCCCCCAAACCCCCGACCGAGGACTAGCCCCCGGATCCCCATTTTTCCCCATGCGTGATGAAAGCGTCATAAATGAACAGTAAATGACGGGTAAAGAAGTAACGCAACAATTAATAATGATATAAATTTTATTGTCATCACGTGTTTTTTTTTATCAAACTTGCCTAATTAGAAAGAAGCGGCAATCAGTTGGGCTAGATCAATGGTTCCCAAACTTTTTTGTCCTACCGCACCCTTTCCAGAAAAAAATGTTACCCTATGTAAATATTATTGTTGCAGCTGAGGAAAGCGATAGAAAGCGCAAAGGAAGGTGTAAATTAGAAACATTGATCTTTGAAATTATGAAACTATTTATTGAATTCGGAATAGAATATAGTACAAAAAAAAGTTAAAAGATTCGAAATCATCGTAATGAGAAGGATGAATCTGGTGTATTGCTAACAATTTAGTAATCCTCGGCTCTATTTTCGTCAGCCAGTAATCTTAAATCACCGCGATTGACTATTTCCAATTGGTTTCTATTTTTTTGTTAATAACTTTTGAATTACAGCCCACATTGGCCATCAGCGCCCCCCTGAATCGCTGCAGCACCCACCAGGGGGCGGTGACACCCACTTTGGGAGTCACTGGGCTAGATCGTTTGGGCTTGCGCAAACTAGCAAGAATTGTTCCGTTTATCGAAAACCAATGAAATTATTTGAAGTGTTACAACATGGAGCTGGCCGATTTCGTTGTTATGTTGGCCGTTCAAAGTGTAAGGAGTATGTAGAAAAAAGAATAGAAGAAACGGGTTTCATTATTGCTGCCGCACCCGTTACAAGCGTTTATAACAAATAATCGCGCCATCTGTGATCGTCTGTTTACAACACAATGCTATTACCGACCTAATTACCAGCCAAACGCACGGTCAAAGCCAATATCGCGGCAGATTAACCAGCTAAATTCGTCAAAAATGCTCAACTTTACACACGTGTATTTTTTTAACCGTTGGATTCCTAACATGTTAACCTGCATTTTCGTAATCTGGGCATCAAAAACTACTAAATGGTATAAAAAAAAGTTAATAATTTTTGGTGCCCCAAAGTAAAGAACAGCCCAAACTCGGATTGCTGCATTGACATATCCTTCGAAGAATCTGTTTTAGGTGATTACAATAAGATATTTAAAGCTATCACCGCTCGATTCGTAGTAGTTGATATTATTCGAGGATTCTAGTATAAATCCGTATTGTTTAAGTAAACCGTAAAAATATTCCACCGTTTCCCCAATGTTTCATCTAACTTATTCAAAAGCCAAATGATACACTGATATTGGCGTGTATGGTGTAGTTTCGATATTTCTTTTTTAAGTAAAAAAATAGACTTTTTTATTACTTTTTTTCCTTGTTTACACTATAGCCACATTCATAGTGACTAAAACAAACTCATTCTTCATTGACTCGGATTATCAGGGCAGACTCGATCGTGTTAATTTTCTGGGTCCGTTCTGTTCGACGTTAATTACATATTCATGGATAAATAAACGTACCAAATTTCAACAGTTCATGACAATTACTTCGGCTACGAAAATTGCCTTCGAATTAGTAAAAAATAAAAGGGAAGGGGTGAAAAATGATTTTGATTTATTCATTATAAGTGTGGTTATGTTTTAAATGACCTGAAAAATTCGTAATACTTAAGATATCAAAAATTTCTTTACACCATAGCCAGGAGTGTACTTTACACGCACAATTTTAAGCCGATATGAAATATAGTTTTAGATATTGCGTTAAAATATTTAAAAAAACTGCGTTTCGAAAAAATGCGTTGATGGTTTCGTGTTTTAACCTAATAGAACAACCTGTGATATCAAAACGATTATAACGATTTTAGCAATTTTGAAATTTTTTTTAGTTTAATTTGGTAATTAGATTTTACAGGCCGTAAACAACAATATCAACAACAACATCCATTTTTACCCTAGAAAAAAAGAACACCCTCTTAAGGGTGCGCAGGAGGCAGAGCCAAACTTCGAGTTGACTTGAGCGACATTTGCGGAAGAAGTAGAAAACTCTGGGACAGGTACAGAGAGGGCGATACAACAATTGCAGGAGAGACTAGGACAGGGCGATTAGGCTAGCATGATTTTTTTGCCAGGATATTGAAGCAAAGAAGCAATATTTTCTAATAATTCTGTTTTTAATATATTCGTTACACTTTGGCGGGTGCGACTTCAAGGCCTGATTTTGTAATTTTGGCCTTAAAACTTTATAAACAATAAACGTACATTTGTTATCTTCATTTTATTGTTTATGATGTTTTAAGGCCGAAATTGCAAAATCAGACCTTGGAGTCGCATCCACCAAAGTGTAACAAATATATTAAAACGAGAATTATTAGAAAATATTGCTTCTTTGCTTCAATATCCTGGCAAAAAAATCATGCTAGTCTAATCGCTCTGTCCTAATCTCTCCTGCAATTGTTGTATCGCCTTCTCTGTCCTTGTCCTGGAGTTTCCTACTTTTTCCGCCACTGTCGCTGAAGTCAACTCTGAGTTTGGCTCTGGCTCCTGCGCACCCTTAATACGTTGAACGTCCGTTGATTCATAGGGACCGGCATTAGATTTTCCGTTTAGGTTGGCTCGGTCTTTACGACTTCGGCCGTAACCGTTCTGTTTATACTTCACCGCAATCCGCGGCCATTGCTCGCAAAATGTTTTAACGTTTTTGACTACAGTATTTTGCTACTCTATGAGGCCTACCTTCGATTTTTTCCAATTTATGCCGTGGTCTTTTGTGAACTCTTTGATACGTTGACTGTCGTGGGGGTCACCGGAGGCCGGCACTCGATTTTGCTATAGTGCCTTGGAGGCCACCGGTTCTCACTCTGTCCCTCTCTCCTGCTAGCATGCGCTACGTCTTTATTGGCTACGGCCAACGGACGACAGCGAACATAGCGAGATAGAGTGAAACGGAATGACGACTTTACAGCATCGGCGTAATCTCCTAATCAAAGTGCCGATTACATATTAAGTTTAAGGGTGTTTATATTGACATACAGTCCTATAAACACTTAAAGATAACGAAAATCCGAGATTGATTAAGAAAAGAAGACTGAAGCCAACAGTATCCCTATGTTGCGGCAATAAATAGAATCTTTTTCTAATCAACATTATGATAGGAAGCCACGCCAATGCTGTAAAATCAATTCATCTCACTCTGTCCCGATATCCTCGCCGTCGTTTCTTGTCACTGGCCGCAGCCAATGACGACATAGCGCATGGGTCAGGAGAGGTGGAACAGAGTGAGAAATGTGTCCTTGGCTCGCCAACTTATCGTGAACGCAGAGTAGCAATCTTCATTTATCGATGAACATCCAAGGCAATACAAAGTGTGCTGCACTCGCTGCGGAAAGTATGTTGACTATAATTCATTCTTAACTACAAAACCATCATTATTATGAATCTTATGCGGAACGTATGTTGGTAAAAGAAAAATGTAATTGTTTACATTAGAGGAGGCATCTCCGATCACCTTGACCTTGACATATGTTATCAAGGACATGTTTTCGAGTAACTTTTTCTAACAACTTAACCGGCGCTCACTGATTATTAAAAAGTTATTACGATAACCATACACCACACATTTCCCAAAAGAAATGGGGATTTGGGAGCGAAGCCCCAACAACGAATATTATTGCTTGCTGTTCGGTTGGCGCACGATCACCAAACTACAGGGGTACTGAGGGTATAGGGGATCGCTCGGTCCTCCAGAGAAAGGGACGTTCGGTCCGCCTAAACGTCCCCCTTCTTTTCGAGCAGTTACACTGCATAGGCGTATTCTGATACCTGAATAGTGACCTGGCTCCGTCGTTCGTGCGGGCGTCCGGTGTTCCAGGGTTAACCTTACGCCAATGATTACTATTGCCCTCTCACTCTATCTTGTTCACGGTCTTCGTCTCGCGGTACCGTTTACCTAGGCCGATACCGAAAATGCGTATTTTGACCTGGCCAATACCGAAGATGCGTGCGGGTAGGGTGTCGACCTTCCGCGCGCCAACTCAGCAGCAAGCGACAATACTGCAGCGCACCACGCAGGTGTGTATACGGTTACCCTGAGGAGTGTTTACATCTCTGCGGAGGGTCTGGGGGACACTGCCCCCCATTACGAGCATAGATTTTTAAATTTTGTAAAAGGTTTTTCAGCTGAAAGCATACGCCTCAAAGATATACGCATGCTAGGAGGTTACGCCCCCCAGACCCCCCGCAGAAATATATACACCCCTCAGGGTAACCGTGTACACATCTGCGTGGTGCGCTACATATTCGTTGTTGAGGGCTTCGCCCCCAAACCCCTGACCGGGAGCAGGCCCCCGGGCCCCTATTTTTCCTGTATTGTGTACTCTTTCATTTCTAATTGTTATCGTTGGAATGTTGACGTTTGAAGCACGCGAGTGTGTTTACAGCGGCCTGTTACGCGAGCGTACGTACATACAAGGTGTCTGCGTATAAGTTCGGACATACGCAGGCTGTCAATTCTACAACAAATTTCCAACAAAAAATTACTCTTAGACATTTTCTTTGTGTCGCCTTATTGTCGTAAATGTTCACTTTTAATATTTGTTATGTGTTTGCGACTTTACACTCTTTAAACGGCTATAACTCCACCAAATTACAGTGCGAATTTAAAAGTAAGTATACCGTTCGAAAGAGCGTTAAATTTCCCAACTCCTGGATATAAAACCAAAATTTATTACGTAAATTTACCAAGTGGAAAATTAGGTCAAACTTTACATTGTGAAAATTTCAAAAAATTTGAGTTTTTCTCTATCCGGTTTTCGGTTTTAAAGACATAGTTGTTTGGCGGGCACTTTTCGAGAAAAACTTCCTCGAAGTCTCAGCTTTTGAATAGTATTGTCAAAAAAAATTGTACGGTGATATTATCGGGAGAAAATGACGTTTAAATGCAGAAAAGCGTTCAAAAGCCCGCCTCCTAAATCGAAACTTATCGGTTCTCCTGCGCCGAAAACATCGATTTCTTGCTGTATGAAATCGATCGTGTTCGAATCTCCATATTATCTATCAGTACACCGAGGTTGATTGTGATTAAATAGTCTCTAAAAACGAAAATTTTATGGATACATGTTCAAAAACAATTATTATTCACCTCGCACTCAGAGTCTACACACGGCTAGGAGAGGCTTGAGGTGCCAAAAAATCGGTTTTTCTCCTATGTGGGGAGCGGGAGTGTCACTAAAAAATACATCAAACCCTATGTCAAATTAATTTTAAAGTGACAAGTCAATTTTCGTTGTAAAATATCGATTTTCACCTATAAACCCACGCTTTTCTGCATTTAAACGTCATTTTCTCCTGAAAATATCACCGTACAATTTTTTTGACAGTACTATTCAAAAGCTGAGACTTCGAGGAAGTTTTTCCCGAAGAATGCCCGCCAAACAACTATGTCTTTGAAACTGAAAAACGGATAGAGAAAAAGTTAAATTTTTTGAAATTTTCACAATGTAAAGTTTAACCTAATTTTTCACGTGTTAAATTTACGTAATAAATTTTGGTTTTATATCCGGGAGTTGGAAAATTTAACGTTCTTTCGAATGGTATACTCAGTTTTAAGTTTGCACTGTAATTTGGTGGAGTTATGACTGTTTAAAGAGTGTCAAGTCGAAAACGCAGGAAACATATTAAAAGTAAAAATACTCGAGAATAAGAAACAAAAAAAATGTCTAAGACTAATTTTATGTTGGAAATTTGTTGTAGAATTGACACCCTGCGTATGTCCGAACTTATACGTAGACACCCTGTATACACAGATTCTAGTATAATACTTATAATACATTTTGATTAATAACTTTTTAATGAGCAGTGAGCGCCGGTTAAGTTGTTAGAAAAAGTTACTCGAAAACATGTCCTTGATAACATATGTCAAGGTCAAGGTGATCGGAGATGCCTCCCCTAAAGTAAATATTTACCAAGAAAAAATTAGGAGGTCTAAAAAAAGCGGTTTTTCGTGAATTTTTTTAGGAACGGAAAAAAATAATTAGTTCTATCAAACTTTTTATCCTATTTTCATACATATTTGAGTAGTCTGTACAAATTTTGTCAACAAAAAATATTCAAATTAAGTCGACTGTGACGCACATTTGTAGGGCACCTCACAACTAAAACCTCTTATCGGCGGGACAGATGCAGGTCGTAATTTTGGTTTAACACAAAAAAAACAAAAGAAATTTTCATTTTCATACATTTTTCTTCAGATGGGGACATTGTGCTGTCCATGGTAACAGATTAATGTTTTCATTAAAAAACCTTCTTAGAAATTTTAGATGTATATTTGGAATCATCGTTCTGTTAATAAATAAATAAATTCTAGATACTCATTTTTTAAATTGCTTGCACTAAATTTTATTGCAAATTGTTTATATATTCTCCTGTCTATAAGCCTTCAAAACATCGTAAATTGCGTACATCATTTAGTGACTAGCAGCTTCACAAAAATACAGATCAGCCTACGTGTGTAACAAAGTTAGAATGGTCTGAAACAGATCAAAATGCAAATTATAAGTTAGTAGAAAATATACTTAACAGGCTCTAATAAATCGTAAGTAATTGAGGATATCAAACCTCGTATTAATTAGTATGTACATCTTATCATTTAAAATTTTATTAATTGGTTAATTCTTTTTGTCAACGCACAGTTTGCGCATGATTCATACAAATAAATAATTGATGGCTTTGGAGTTAGTGAATTTCTTGTACAATTGCTGATTAAATATATATTTTTTTATTCAGTCAAACTTGAACTTTTTATTTGGTAGCGAAAAACTACGTTTTCAGCCACCAAAGCTTTTTTAACAAACTTCGAAAAGGACGAGGTTACTCAATTCGACATGTATTTTTTTTTTTTTTTTTTTTTTTATGTATGTTACGCGATTACGTTCGGACGGCTTGATCAATCGAGATGAAACCTGTTGCATCTTGTAGAGCATATCTCCGGGGTGGTCCCATTACCAAAAAATTTTGGGATTTCCCATTTTTTTACCCGTTTTTTTCGCAAAAAACCGAAAAATTTTGTATTGCTTCTTATTCCGAAACAAATTGACCAATCGGATTTAGTCTTCTTACATTTAACAGCTTAAAGAGACATTTGACTTACTTCCATTTTTTACTACTTTATTGCACTTTTTATCGAAAATTGTACTATTTCACGTATGTTCGGCCTGAATTCGATGAAATCGATGAAACCCTTTACATTTTGCTGCCGGACAGGTTTTCGAGTTGATCACTTTGCAAAAATGATTTTTCTTATTGCTTATAACTATTGTTATTGCAAAATTTCTATTCTTTTATGTAACTCTGCAAGGAATTAACAGATTGCAATGAAGCCTTCCGCATTTCATGATAGATGAATTCGTGATGTTCCCATTTGCAAAATTTAATGGACACTTTCATTGTTTATAAAACCATTGTTGGTGCAAAATTTACCAAACGCAGTCAATCCTTTCACATTTAGTTGCACATTCATACTTAATATCTCATTTTCAACTATACAGGGTGTCCCAAAAATGTTGGATGTCCTTGAATGGTGTGTTTCGGGGGGGGGGGGGGGGGGGATTCGAAACAATTTTTTCATAGCGAAAATGTTGTTCGAGGCTTCGTTAAGGAGATATTGACAGAAACCCCCGACCAATCAGAGCGCGAGTTTCTGTTTCTGGAATATCCCGTTAACGAAGCCTCGAACACCATTTTCGCTAAGGAAAACTTGTTTCAAATCACCACCCCACCCGTCCCGGAACCACCCCTTCCAAGGACCTCCAACGTTTTTGGGTCATCCTGTATATTGCTCATAACTATTGTTATTGCATGAAACCTATCGGTTATAGATTGCCACTAAAAAGAGCGAAATAAAATAATTTTTGGAAAACTAATATAACCGACTTCGAAAAAATATTAAAAATGTACTAAAAAGTATAAAATAATTTCTATTTCATTTATATTAAATGATATTCAATAATATATTACAATTATATTTCCTTTATATCAAATAATGTTAAATAATCTTTTAAATCAAAAATTATTTACATTAAAAATTACCAAATTTGGTTTAACTTTCTGTCGGAGGGACAAAACGTATGCCCTTAAATTATTGCTACATCATATCTACTTTAGACATCATATACATTAACACTTTTCACCATCGGCGCCTCCACAAAAAACTATTCCAAATCTACTCATTGTCAGACAGAACTTTCACATAGACATTTATTGTCTGGCTGAGCGTTCCATAGGACAGTACCCCGGTTATACGGCCATACCTGCACCCACATGAAGGTGATGGGTTTGTAAAACTAGAAACGGGTGCCTAATAACTGATTATTAGTACCAGTGACCACTGGTAGGGTTTCTTATTCTAACGACCCCTCACACAGCCAACCAGGAAAGAGAATGGAAAGATAAGCCCTCTCTATTATTACATTTCATCGAGGCAAGTACTCGGAAACCACGTAAAACTCTAGTCTTAAGCAATTGTAGGGCGTTTTGCTTTTGGGTCCTCTTTTTCTGGGGAAGTCTATTGCCAACAACAAGCCCTGGGAACCGACCTGGACTTTCACGTAGACAGTATACATGTATACATTAAACGCATTGAACATTGCCGCCTTCGCAAAAAACTGACTCAAGCAGAAATTAAAAATTTTTAATTTTGCGCCGACTACGAAAAGATTATTCAATATAATGGAATATAAAGGAAATAGAAATGTAATATATTATTGAATATCATTTAATATAAATGAAATAGAAATCATTTCATACTTTTTAGTGCAATTTTAATATTTTTTCGAAGTCGGTTATATTTTTTTTCCAAAAATTATTTTATTACCGTTCCGGTCGTATGTCTGTTCTTAGCCACCGCAGCAAAAAACCATACTAATCTTTGCTGTGGTGGAGAAGAACTATATTAATCTTATATTGTATTCATCCATATATCAATTTACACTTTCTCTGTATTTTTATTACTTAAAGTTCAATTCAAGGCATTTCCAATGCCAAGTTTCTTTATTAATGATTAAAAATATTAAGAATTTCATTCTAAAATTAAATAGAAACAAAAACATTCGTGTTAAATTATAAACTTGTCATTAGAAACAAGCTTATAAGTATAAGTTTGTTTATTTAAATGTCGTAATTACACAGATACTCGATTAATTCAAATTTCATATACAGTTGTCTCTGATTGTACCTCCCATACATCCTTAAGATATTTCCAAAATAATACTCCAAAATAGCAAAAAAAAGTTACCGAAATAGACCACATGATGGAGAATTACAAAATATAATTTTTATATAAAAATATAACATTAAAACACATTATTGTGTAAACATACATCTAAAGTTCACAAAAGGATTAATAAATCTAGTTGACCCTCCACAATCTTGCATATTATGTATCACTGCCTGTTCATCGGAAATGAATTCCAACCAGTACGACACTCATGTCTAAATTAAATACGATCGCAAAGGGTTAAACATATTTTACCTCCTACCAAAGGCCGAAGCCTGGAGATCCGATTTTGAGAAAAGCAATCCTTTCTTCGTGCTCCGGTTCATTAAGGTCGTATAGTTGAAGCCCCCGTTCAACTCTAATCTTATGCTTTGTAAGGACTTATTCTTGAGGTTTTCTAATTGAAGAAATTATAACAGACAACGCCAAGGGATTAGACCTTCATAGGTAACCGGTGAACTGCACCGTTAGCTCGGTTATTAATAGTCAATGAACCATGACACCAGTACAGTAACCTTTAAAGACTTAAGCTACGCGACGCATGCCAATATCAGTATCCCATTCACCCCTGAAAAAGTTGTAATGCTATTGAAGTGTCAGAGTATCTTATCCAATGGATACGGTTTACGAGTGGAAGCCTTGTTCACAATAATATTTAACAGATGATTAAATATTATACGAAGAGATACCGTGTTTTATTACATGATATAACAATGACATATTATAATTTAAAGTGTTAACACGTTTACTGTCACGATAGTCATCAGTGATCAATGTTTATCTTTTGCGGTTGCAGTAACATTATTCGTAGCCCTCAAGGAAAAAATGTAAAACTTGCGTGGTAGTGAACATGTTAATTTAAAACAGAAGTTCGTAGGGCATTTTACATTCCATCTGACAAATAGTTTACAATTGATCACGTTTTGTTGCAAATTTATTGTGTTACTCGACAACAAAGTTTTATGCGACATTAATCGTCAAGTATAACTACACTGTACAATCAGGGGAAGACATTAAATAATTTATTATACTATTTACATATTGTGCTGACGATATCTTTGAATGGCATATAAGTACTCGTTCTTGCCCTGTATTTCGGATATTGTAATCCAACTTCAAAAGGAACTATTAAAGCCTTGAACAGCTATGTTAATGTCAAAACCATCAACGAAATACATGATAAACCGCAATCGATCATACAACGTAGAAAATGTAGTATACTTCACCAGTATACAGAAAATCTAACCGTCCAGTAATTTACAACACCAATTACTGCGGTCTGTATTGCATAAGCAGTAAATCTAGGTAATATTTTCTGTACAGGTGGGAAATCCGATGCTCGCAATTTTGTAATCTCAGTTTACTCTACTTAGCCGAGGTAAACCAGCCATGTAAGCACTTTGGCACTGGTCCAGGAGTTTCGAAGGTTGATCTAGCAATTTCTGTGAGAGTCACGCTGTCTAGAATCAGCAGACCCACCTGTGTCTCCTTCTCTGACCAGACAATGGCACTTAAGACGACGCCATCGTCTTCATTCTGAAATATATAAAATTATACATCAAAAGATTACTATGTGAGCTTGTTAACACGTTGACTGCAAAATCTTTGCACCTCTTATCATTCACTATCTTAACTATAGCATGTGAAGGAGAAACAATCAGTTACCAAGTAGGACTCAAATTTGGAATCATTTTTTTATTACCAAAGAACTTGTATTCCAGTTTTTTGTTTGTTCATTTTTAATAGTTAAAGAATTGCCTCTAATAAATACATGTAAAGTTAATGAAATAAATAAATCATTGAGTTCTGCCGTAATATAGATTTAAGCCTAACTACTGCTCGAGGAAGTCATGGAATATTTTTGTCATGTGCCCTTACTCAGGAGATTCTCCTAGAAACTGCGGTACAATCTGATCTAGCCTAGCAGAACTTCCTAGTAGATATATGTCGTAATTTGATAAAATAAAATATGAAGGTAATCTAAAGAGTTTAAAATGGTTACCAAATGGCAGTGAACGTATTATTATGGACAACACGTGAGTAACATCAACAAACAAAGAAATTTTTTCATCATTGCACACACCTTCCCATTGGGATCCGGCACGAAGATTGGTTCGCTGGGATAAACGTTCTTCTCGCACCACGTTTTTCTCGTTTTCTTCAACACGTCCACCTTGATGATCTATCAAGTAACATTTCATGCGTTAATGATCATTATTACGGACTTACAGTGGGTGTAGAATGTATTTGTACATCGATCAATTTCCCCCCAAAATTTGGGGGAAATTGTAGTTTCTTAACTTCTTTTTTTATAATCAATGATATTTTACATATTCTCGGAAATCTCTAAGATAGATATAGTCTAAACAACAATTCAATAATTCCTCACTGCTACAGCAGAGCCTACCCTCTCAAGTGCCTGAGAGGACCCTTCCTGTAGTTTACTAAAGACTAAACAGATGTGCTAAAACTACGCTGTATACAGCCAGAAATTCTTTCTACTGTTTTTCTTTTAACGTTCATCGGTCAGTCATGTGCAGCTCCTTGTTGAGAAAAGATAACAGTTTGCTCGGGACAATTTAGTGAATAAAGCTAAAGTTAATCTATAAATTTAGTATTCTATCATTTATTTATACACCATTTCCAATATTTCATTATGCTTGCTATGCCAATTTGCTATGCTTATCGTCCTATGGTTTTTGAGAATTCAAGAAACTACAAAATGCACACAATATGGAATAATATAAAACAAAAAATTGAAAGTAAAATACATATTATAATATTTTTGCAGAGTAAAATAAATTCCTATTTAGGTTCCATTGTTGTAGGTACGATTGCAAAGATTTTATTTTGCATAAAGATCCGCATAAAGATCAGTCTATTTATTAGTTTTGGGATAGACACTGTATAAACAAACTGCAAAAATGCAACCAACGTGCAATTACCATTCCAGGATTGTCCAAGTCCACATCACTAGAAATTGCGTAGAAGTAACGGTACTCTCTGCCAAAGAAATAATCATAATTGAGACGCGGAGTCTCGCAGCCCAAATCGCAGAGGAGTTCTGGTTTTAGGTAAATGTTGCCATCCGGAAGTCTATGAGCAGCGGCCTTTCTGTGAATAATATTTCTGTAATCATTTTTGCTATTCGTATTAACGTTAACAGGATTTTCATTTGCCGAATCATCGAGGAACTCCGTGTCTGATCTAGCGTCTTGATTGTTAAGAGATTTCTTGACGTCTTGGAATGATACCAGGCCTTGGTTCACCGTTTTTACAGTGATCAAATTGTACTCCAATGGAACATCTAACTGTGTACGCTTCATTGGCAATACGAATCGCAAGGGTCTGCCGCGGAACATCTTAGCGTAGTCAGGATTCTTGTGTATATTCTGTGAACATGAACGGGATATATTTTTATTATCTGATAAAAAATGAGAAATTGTTGGAGTTTACGACGCTATTTCAAACATTCCGCGAGACTGCTAAGTCGCCATCTGCAGGAGCGTCAGCGATTGACTAGCCAGCGCTACCAATGTCGCGTAGTTGGTACGCTCCGTGAACGCGTTATTGTCGTGCATGTTAAAGTACGTACTCACGAGAGCATTTTTCGACGTACGAACGGTTGGACGCACGGGCCTGCGGACGCGTGAAATTGCACCCAAAACCCGCCCCCGCGGGCATTTTTCGACGCACGGCTGCTGCAGTCAGTAAGTATCGTTTATGCGTGCAAGCGGGCCCTGGGCGCGTTCAAACGCTATCCGACCAGGGTCTACAAGCTCTACTCTTGTGAACTTGAAGCCCGATTTTAACTCGCGCCCGTCGGGGATGATGGCGCTACTGTCACTCCTTTCGCACCATTGAGTTCATATTCTGTGTACGTTTATTCTATGCCGAACGCGCTCGGCAAAGTGCGGCAAAATTTCAACTCCATATGGTCATAACGTGATAGCGAGTGCATGCAAGTGCACGGTGCAAGTAAATGCTGTGTGCTGCTGCGTGCTGTCGGTTCTGCGTGGTTCTGCGATAGTGTTTTTAGTTCACACCGATTATGGATAATAATAAGAGGTAAATAGTTATTATTTTTATAAAAATACTAAATAATTACTAAAAGAAAAAATACGGCTTTTATATAGTTTATTACAATACGAAAGGACAAGGTGGGTTTTTCCCGTGCTTTCTTTTGTCCTGCTTTGTCCTTTCCTTTCAATTCATTTCAATTGCATTTTAAAAGCATTTAAAAGGTGTCCGAATTCTTTTTCGGCTCACAGTACATTTGATTATTTATTGAAATCATATCTAGAAAAAATTTCGAAATTATTAATTATTAATTTTTAATTATTTAAAGTTTCGAAATTATTAATTATTAAAAAGATAAATAGTTATTATTTTTATAAAAATACTAAAGAATTACTCAAAATATATAAAAGCCGTATTTTTCCTTTGTTAGAATACGAACAGGAGGGACAGGGTGGGGCAAGGCGGGTTGAGCCGGTTGAGAAATCGAGTGGTTTGTGGGGACCACTTCGAAATTTATTACCGCGTTGAATGGATTGGATCAAAGCGTACAAGTCATGCAGTACCAAGCTGCAACTTACCAGGTAATAATTGACTATACACTTTTTAAACTACATTTAACAAATTATTAAAGAAAATATTTATTAAATTCTATTAGCACCTGCCACATCTATCGAGCAACAGGTGGAACTTGTAATGGAAATTGAAGAAGAAGAAGAACGTAAGTTTTTGATCTTAATACACTTAGTACGTCACATATAAATGAGAAGACCTCCAACATTAAGTGTATATATAATGTTATATAATTTTGTTAATATAGATCAACCTGTGCTCACCATTGGATACCAGGATAACGTGGGACCTAAGGACAACGTGGGACCTATGTACGACGTGGGACCTATGGACAACGTAGGACCTAAGGACAACGTAGGACCAATGGATAACGTGCGACCTATGTACGACGTGGGACCTATGGACAACGTAGGACCTAAGGACAACGTAGGACCAATGGATAACGTGGGACCTAAGGACTACGTGGGACCTGGGACCAGCAGAGACTTCGACGCACTTGCCTATAATGTGCTTCCTGGATCATCCAGAGGTGAGTGTATTACCTTACAATAATATTATCTTCTATTGCATTCCTTTTTTTAGTTATGATAGGTATTTAGTATTATGCGTGTCATTTAAAAAGTGCTTCTATTAATTCTTTGTTACAATTACATGTTTCACTGTCCAAAGGAATCAAGTTCAACCGGCTATCAGGAAAGGCCTTAAAGGTATTAAATATTTAAAAAAATACTAGATGTAATAGTTAAATATTATATCTACCGGAAAGCTCTGTCCGTTTCCATCACAACAAGTCTCGACACGTAAGCACATGTTTATTTGGTGCATGTGTGCCTCTCTATTTTTATTATATAATGGTCACACGTGGAAGATTTATATTTTATTGATAGCAGTAATGTTTCTTCGGAGAACCGACTCCTGGAGAAACTTACTGCAAAACATGTTATTTCTTCAAAAATTCCAAAAATGAAAGTTAAATATTGCGCCCAAGTTTTTAGTCGATCAGTTGGATCCATTATGACATTTGCGAGTCGTAACAAGGTCAAAAGTATGTGTGGTACGCGGGAAATGTCGGATCAAGGGATTGACACTGCTGAACTTATTCATTTTACGAATAATACGTTCGACAGTGTCAATAGTAGAGTCGCAAATCAGACACACAGAACAGATACGACCCTAACTAATGTTTGGAATAAAGCAATTTCAGTTTTTCGCAGCATGAAGTTTATTAAAAGAAAGCCTGCGGATAAGGAGCGTCCGAAGGTTCTGCAGAATTGGGTGACGACCCTTCGAAATTTAAAATTTTTAAAATCACACCTGCAGAGTCTTGGATTTCATTCATTTATTCCGCGTAATTTTAATCAAGATGCCCTTCAGAATTTTTTCGTTAATAATTCAAAAATGAAGCCTCCAACAACATTTTTGCAAAGGAAATTGTTGTTCAGAATCGTGTCAGCTACTCCCCATTTCCGGTTCTTATAGGAGTTCTGGGACACCCTGTATGTGCATTTTTATATTATTGTTGCGTTTGTATTTTCATATTTATTATATATGTACGAATGTGTATGAGTGTGTGGATTGTAATGCAATCGTATGTATGAATGAATACATATATATACGTAAACATTTAAAACCAGCAAGAGTCACGGTTCTTCGATTAAGATCATGAGTGATCATGTTCTTAGGCGCAAAGCCACGATTCTAGCTGATTTTAAATGTTTACACTTTATTATGTGAATATATATGCATTTTTATATTATTGTTCGAATTATATTATTGTTTATATTATTGTTCGGGTGAATTAAATACACATACGTGGGACCATACTGTTGGGTGTGTGTCTCACGGATTATATGTATGTAGTAGTGTGGCGTTCTCAAATGTGTTAAACACCACAAGACAAGAATCTTTCGACTCCGTAAAACTCCTCGGACAAATAAATGAAAAAAAAACTTTTTAATCATAATGCTGCGAAAAATCAGATTTGTATTCTTGTAATATCGGAACTAGACTGAACACGTTTTCCCTAGTTCGCTTGCTTTCCAAAACCGGAAACGACAGATAGCGTTGTCATGAAAATTGACTTTTTTCTTTCTGCCAGCATCGGTAGGGGTCGCCACCCCCCCCCCCCCCTCCAACTCGCTCACAATGGAAGTGTGAGCTGACGATGACTTCCTTGAATATGTCCTCAGTGGCTTTTCTTCTTTCTCCTTTTCAATGTATGCTGGTTTCAATCTATCTATGGCAATATTTTGTTTATCGTCTTTTATCTCTATAGTGAAATATTATGGATCCCTGTTTACAACCTTATAAGGACCTTCATATGGAGGTTCTAACGCTTTTCTAAGCGCTTCTGTCCTGATGAAAACATGCGAACATGTCCATAAATCCTTGAAAACAAAATGTTGTTTCTGATCATGGTGTGCCGTGGGTTTTGGCTTAACCTGCTGCATATAAGTTCTAAATTTATCTATTGTAAAATTATCTGATCTATTGTCATTAAAAAATTCTCCGGGCATCCTGAGAGTAGTCCCGTATAATATTTCTGCTGCAGTAGCTCCTAAGTCTTCCTTAAAACTGGTTCGTAGTCCCAATAAAACCGTTGGTAAAACTTCCAACCAGTTCTCTTTCTCGTGACACATAATTGCAGTTTTCAGCGATCTATGCCATCGCTCTAACAACCCATTAGCTTCAGGTTGGTATGCTGAGGTTCTGATTCTATTGCACCCTAGAATATTTGTGAGCTTTAAAAATAGCTTAGCTTCAAATTGCGTACCTCTATTCGTCGTAATTGTGGCTGGAGCTCCAAAACGTGCTACCCAGTGTTGATAGAAATTTGTAGCTACTGAATCGACAGTAATGTCTTTTATTGGGATAGCTTCTGGCCAACGACTAAACCTGTCCATCATAGTCAAACAATACTTATAACCTTTTACTTCAGGTAAGGGTCCAACTATATCTAGATGAACGTGCTTGAAACGTTCTCTGGTATCGGGATTTGTTCTGGCGTTGTCTTTGTGTGACGTGATACCTTGGCTCTTTGACAGTGGCTGCATGTACGTGTCCAATTTAATATCTCCTTACTCATGGATGGGCAAACTACATCCTTCGCTATAATCTTCCTAGTTGTTCGACCACTGGGGTGTCCCAAGTTATGGTATCTATTAAAAACTCGTCTCCTTAAACTTTCGGGAATAAAAAGTCTAATTTGTCCAGTAGAAGTATCACAATATACTTCAGTTTGTGTATTATCTATTGGCTGTTTCTCTAGTATCAGAGAAGTATGACCGTCTAAAATTTTCTTTAACTCCTCATCATTTTCTTGAATATGCAGGAGTTCTTCTGCGCTGATCACAGTTGTCAGGCTAATCACGTCCAATCGTGACAATGCGTCTGCTATTTGATTTTCCTTCCCTGGAATGTATTGTATATTCGTGAAAAACTGTCCTATAAAGTCAAATTGTCTGGCTTACCTAGGTGATGCTTTGTCTAGGTTCTGTTGAAAAGCATAGCTTAATTTGTGATCCGTTGATGTTGAAAAATGTTTCCCTTCCAACATATGTCTAAAATATTTGACTGCTGTATAAATAGCTGTTAACTCTCTATCGTAGGTACTGTAGCGTTTTTGCTGCGTAGAAAATTTTTTTGAAAAAAATCGAATTGGCTGCCAAAATTTCCCATTTCTTTGTTGTAGCACTGCTCCCATTGCTATATCCGAGGCGTCGGTAATTAGTGAAATTTCGGCATTTTCTGCCGGGTGCACTAAAAGAGAGGCGTCGATTAATGATTTTTTGCATTCTGTAAA